AAAAAATTAATAGATATCCAAGAAAAATAACTTTGGATTTCAATCTGTAACAGCCCAACTCTCCACAAGCACAGCTCTAACCATCCAGTTCATCTGCAGTCCTTCAATACAGTTGCAGCCTTTTCAGGAAACCTCTAGTTCATATAGGAAGAATCGGGAGTTCAAGTCCAGGGTCAGTGTCGATCTCTGCAACACAGAGGATGAATGAATTCTGGCCCTACACCTGTCCTTGGTGCTGGGTTTTGAGCTTCTGGTTTCTTCTGGCCAAGTATTCCAGCTCTGTGGCCACAGAGAGAAAGCTTTCTTGCTCATTTCCTGTGGAGAGTGTGCAGGTATTTCTAGAACCCATCATAGGTCAGGCAGCATCTGTCACTATAGGCTTCATGCTGGCTGCACAGCTCTGGCTTCCCAGTGAGAAGTGTCTAAGCTTGACCTTCTGACTTAGACATTAACCTGAAGACTTTCTTTATCTGGCCTCAGGATTCCTGGGAGTCTCAGCAGCTCTCACCTTATTTCTTTTTGGGGGTTTCTTCACTACACCTGGCACCAGGATTCTGCCTTACTGATTCCTGTGTGAACTTTCTGAGCTCTCTGTAATGCTTTGCGTGATGGTATTTCATTGAGAGTCCCTGTACTTTGGGGAGGGCGCGTGCCTTCCACATCTGTGTTAGTTACTAGACGGCCCGGTGTGATTTCTCTAATGAGGAAAAACATAGAAAGAGCTTTTAAATGTGTTTGAAGACATGGTGTTTTTTAATTTTTCCTTGAATTGAAAATATTTTTTCTCACATGATATATCCTGATTCCAGTTTCCCTTCCCTCTACTCCTCCCACTTCTTCTACACTACAACTCCCATCCAGATCCACCTCCTTCCTGTCTCTCCTTGGAAAACAAACATGCATCTAAGGGATAATAATATAATAAAATAAAATAAGAGAAAACAGAAACTAATACATCAGAATAGGACAAAACAAACAGAAAAGAGCCAAAGAGAAAGCACAAGAAACAGAGACCCATTTGTTCACACATGCCGGAATCCCATAAAAACACTAAACTAGAAGCCATAATATATATACAGAGGACCTGTAGTGTAAAAAGAGAAATATAGCCGGGCGGTAGTGGCACACGCCTTTAATCCCAGCACTTGGGAGGCAGAGGCAGGCGGATCTTTGTGAGTTCAAGGCCAGCCTGGTCTACAGAGCGAGATCCAGGAAAGGCGCAAAGCTACACAGAGAAACCCTGTCTCGAAAAACCAAAAAAAAAAAAAAAAAAAAGAGAAATATATATAATAAAAATAATAACATAACACAAAAAATTGAAAAAAAAAGAAGCTCTGACATGACATTGTGAAAGAAGGAACCTCTAAAGATGCCATGTTTTCTATTGACCATCTACTGCTGAGCATGGGGCCTACCCTTAAGAGTAGTTTGTTTCCCCAGTGAGACTCCCATGGATAAAATGAAATTTTCATTTGCAAGTAGTTATCAATTGGAGGTAGCGTCTGGATTAGAGATGGGGGAATGTATGAGATCTCTTCAGTTTTTATGTAGGCACTTAGTGCTGTGAAGTTGCCTTTTAGAACCACTTTCATTGTGTCCCATGAGTTTGGGGATGTTGTGTATTCATTTTCATTAAATTCTAGAAAGTCTTTAATTTCTTTCTTGACCCAGGTTTTTATTCAGTAGTGAGTTGTGAAATTTTCATGAGTGTATAAGCTTTCTGTTATTTTTATTGTTAATATCCAGCTTTAATCCACGGTGGTCAGATAGAATGCAGGGTGCCATTTCAATTTTCTTGTATCTACCAAGACTTGCTTTGTATCCAAGTATGTGGTCAATTTTGGAGAATGTTCCATAAGGTGCAGAGAAAAAGTGTTTTCTTTTGTGTTTGGATGAAATATTCTGTAAATATCTGTTAGGTCCCCTTGATTTATAATGCCAGTTAGCTCCAGCATTTCTCTGTGTGATTTTCAGATTTCTAGATGTCCTGTCTATTGGTTAGAGTGGGGTATTAAAGTCTCACACTATTAGTGTGTGAGAGTCAATTTGTGATTTAAGTAGGGGTGTTTCTTTATGAACTTAGGTGCCCTTGTATTTGGTGCATAGATGTTGAGAATTGCAATGTCCTCTTGGTGGATTTTTCCTTTGATGAGTATGTAGTGCCCATCCCTATCTCTTCTGATTAGTTTTGGTTTGAAGTCTATTTTGTTTATTAAAATTACTACATCAGCTTGCTTTTTAGGCTTAGAATATCTTTTTCCATCCTTTTACCCCAAGGTGATGTCTAGTCTTGATGTTAAGAGGATGGATCCTGTTTCCCCATCCACACTGTTAGCTTGCATCTTTTTTATTGGAAAAATTGAGGCCATTGATAGTGAGATATCAATGAACAGTGTGTATTGATTCCTGTTATTTTGCTGGTGTGTGCGTGCATGCGTGTGTGTGTGTGTGTGTGTGTGTGTGTGTGTGTGTGTGTGTGTGTTTCCCTTCTTTTGATTTGCTGGTCTGTGCTGTGGATATTGCTCTGTATACTGTGAATGTGTTACTCTGATTTGGTTGATAAATAAAATGCTGATTGGCCAGTAGCCAAGCAGGAAGTATAGTATAGGTGGCATAAGCAAAGAGGAGAGTTCTGGGAACAGGAAGGCTGAGTCAGGAGTTTCCAGCCAGACACAGAGGAAGCAAGATGTGAAGGCAGAATTGAGGAAAGATATCAAGCCACGTGGCTAAACATAAACAAGAATTATGGGTTAGTTTAAATGTAAGAGCTAGTCAGTGGTAGGCCTGAGCTAATGGCCGAGCAGTTTTAATTAATATAAGCCTCTGTGTGTTTACTTGGTTGGGTCCAAGCGGCTGCAGGACTGGCAGGTGAGAGAGATTTGTCCTGACCATGGACCAGGTGGGACAGAGGAAAACTTCAGCTACAGGTCTGGGATTATTTATTCCTTGTGTGTTCTTGACTGTGGTTAACCTCTTTAAGTTGGAGTTTTCCTTCTAGCACCTTCCATAGCACTGGATTTGTAGATAGATATTGCTTAAATTTGGTTTTCATCATGGAATGTCTTATTTTTTTCCACCAATTGTGTTTGAAAGTTTTGCTGGGTATAGTAGTCTGATCTGGCCGCTGCAGCATCTTAGAGTCTGCAGCACATTTGTCCATGCCCTTTTGGCTTTTAGAGTCTCCATTGAGAAGTCAGGTGTAATTTTAATAGGTCTGCCTTTATAGGTTACTTGATCTTTTTCTCTTGCAGCTTTTAATATTCTTTCTTTGTTCTGTACATTTTTATTATTTTGCTCCAAGGAGACTTTCTTTTCTAACCCAGTCTATTTGGTGTTCTGTAAGCTTCTTGTGCCTTGATAGGCATCTCTTCCTTTCAGTTAGGGAAGTTTCCTTCCCTAACTGAATTTTTGATTATTATGCTCCAAGGAGACTTTCTTTTCTAACCCAGTCTATTTGGTGTTCTGTAAGCTTCTTGTGCCTTGATAGGCATCTCTTCCTTTCAGTTAGGGAAGTTTTCTTCTACGGTTTTGTTGAAAATATTTTCTGGGCCTTTGACCTGTGTTTTTTCTCCTTCCTCTATTTCTATTATTCTTAGGTTTGGTCTCTTCATAATGTCCCAGATTTCCTGGATGTTTTGTACAGGATTTTTTTTTTTAGATTTAACATTTTCTTTGACGGAGGTATTAATTTATTTTATTGTGTCTTCAATGCCTGAAATTTTCTCTTCTGTCTCTTGTGTTCTGTTGCTGAGGCTTGCATCTGAGGTTTCTATTTGAGGTCCTGAATTTTTCATTTCCAGATTTCCCTCAGTTTTCTTTGTTGATTCTGTTTCCACTTTCAGGTCTTGAACTGTTTTATTCATTTCTTTCTACTCTTTGTCTTTTCACAGATTTCCTTAAGAGATATATTCATTTCTTCTTTAAGGACCTCTATCATATTCATAAAGGCTATTTTAATGTCTTTGTCTTGTGCTTCAGCTATGTTGTGTGGTACTCAAGGCCTGCTGTGGTAGGGTTGTTGGCCTCTAGTGGAGACATATTGTCCTGGCTGTTATTGTTTGTTTTGTTTCGGGTTTTTTTGGTTTTTTGTTTGTTTGTTTGTTTTTTATGCTGGCTTCTAGGCATTCAGATTTGGGAAGACTGCAATTGTAGGTGTTGATACACTGGTCTTGTGTTTGTTGGGTGGGTATTTTGTTCCTATTGCCTTATCTGGTTCTTAGGAGGGTGTGGTGGCTGTGATCCCTGGTAGGAAATTTTTCTGATATCCTGCTAGACATGGCCACCAGGGAGGGGGGTGCTGTGGGATGTTCTGTATGGCAAATGTGTTGCTAATTAGTCAATAAATAAAACACTGATTGGCCATTGGCTAGGCAGGAAGTGTAGGCGGGACAAGGAGGAGAATAAAGCTGGGAAGTGGAAGACTGAGGGAGAGACACTGCCAGCCGCCATGATGACAAACAGCATGTAAAGATGCCGGTAAGCCACGAGCCATGTGGCAAGGTATAGATTAATGGAAATGGATTAATTTAAGCTATAAAAACAGTTAGCAAGAAGTCTGCCACGGCCATACAGTTTGTAACCAATATAAGTCTCTGTGTTTACTTGGGCGGGTCTGAGTGGCTGTGGGACTGGCGGGTGAGAGAGATTTGTCCTGACTGTGGGTCAGGCAGGAAAACTCAACCTACAGGGGGGTTCCAGATAAAATGTGTTTTAGGTATTGGGAGCTGACACTTAGGAATGAGAATGACTCTAGGAAGGGGTGCCAGGGAAGGAGGGAAGTAGATGTTCCATCACAATCTGCTTAGTCCCCTGAGAATGCGGGAAAGGAGGGAAGGGAGGCTGCAGCAGGTGGTCTGCTACACAGCTGGAGATGAGACTGGGGGATTGGACTTGGAGCAGCAGAGGAGAGGTGAAGATTTGCAGTTAGCCTACCTACTTCCCTGGTCAGAGTCAAGAAACGTGTTAGTTCAAGTAACCTTTTCTTCCTCCATTCTTTTCAGGGCTGAGTTGGAAGAATCACATAATTATGACATAACAATTTCATATCTGAGTCACTCTTGCAACTCCATTAACCCATGTGCTGCAGGAGAAACGACTGATGGTAAGTCTGCTAAGCCAATTAATATTATAACCCTATGCAGAATAAAAACGTGTCAGGATGGTATTCTCCCTATAACTAATGATATGTTAAGATTTCATATTCATTCTGCTCTGCCATCTTATTTCCTTTTTTAATCTCTCCCATCTCTTGTCTCTTAACAATATGTATCAGTCCAGCTGGGCATCAGCACTGATCTGGACTCCTAATAAGTGACTCCTACTGTGTCCCTCTTCCTTTCTGCCATTTCTTCTCATCTCTAATCATCTTAACTGCTTTGCCCTTTGTAGGTGTGTAGGAAGAAAAGTCAAGACACTGTGATTCAATTTTTTCTCACTTCTCTTAAGGAAATCTCACCTCGCTTATCATAACATTCTTGCATTTACTTAGTGTTTAGAAAACGAGATGACACACCATGAGAATTAGACTTTGTGTTCAATCTAATTAAGAAAGGGGATTTATATAGTAGCTCTTGAGTCCAGAGCTAAATCCTCCAGCCTCTGGTGATGCTCAGAACATTTTGTGCAAAGGAGATGCCCAGAGAAAAGGAACGAGAAGCTGAGACACATCATTACTGCAAGGTTCAATGTCTTTGTTCTACAAACAGCCTCATCCAATTCTCTACAGAAGCTGTAAATATTAGTGCTACAATACATAGCAGGACTTACAGACCCAGCACTATGGATTGTATTTCTCTTCTAGTTCTTCTGTGCAGATACCTGCAGATTGAATGCTTCCATCCCTCACTGCAAGAGATAGGAGACTGAAGATTAGAGAGGCTGAGCTGTACTTAGTGACCCAAGTACTGTGTGCTCAAGCAATAGTGCAGAACAGGCAAAGCCTGTCTGGACACACCATGCCCTTTCCATAAATCTAAGCTGCATCTTACACAGGAGAGCTTATCTTCCTTCAAGGAGGCTCCAGAAGGTCTTCTTGCTCAATTATTGCTGTACAGACAAGAAGACTTAGGTTCCAGGAAAGAAGTCATTGTTCTGGAATATATACTTAGAAAGTTTGTAACATAAAACATGAAGATATATTGACATTTCTGTAGCAGGCTTTTTCTTTGGGTCCACCAACCAGCTCCCAAATCATGACACGGAGACTTACTAGTTATGAATGCTCAGCCTAGCTTAGGCTTGTTTCTGGCTAGCTCTTTTAACTTAAATTTAACTGGCTTCTCTTTACCGTTTGCCTCAAGGCCTTTTTACTTTCTTTCTGTGTATCTTACTTTCACTGCTTCTCATATCTGCTGACTGGTGGCTGCCTGGCTGACCCTGGGCATCTCCCTCATTCTCTCCTCTTCTCCTTCTCTTGTTCTTCTCCCAGGCCTAGATTTCTTCTCCTATTTATTCTCTCTGCCTGCCAGCCCCACCTTTCCTTTCTCTGCCTAGCTATTGATTGTTCAGCTCTTTATTAGACCAATCAGGTGCCTTAGGCAGACAAGGTAAAACAAATGCAACACATCTTTACATAATTAAACAAATGCAGCACAAACAAATATAACAAACTTTACATGGTTAAAATAATATTCCACAACACATTTCACTCTCCAAGAGTGAGAAGTTGAATAACTACTGGAAAATTCTACTGGGCAAAGTCTATTATCAGCGAAGGCTGCCTTGAACACTTAAAATTTAGAGGGTAGATTCAGGCATGAGATGGAAGTTTTGCAATTGATTATTAATGTCTGCCATAGGTGTAGGATTTTTGTTGTTGTTTGCTTTTTGTTTGTTTTTCATTCATTGCCCACCCTGCTACAGAGGAGTTCTAAAAGTCTAAGAAGTCAGACAGTTGTCCTTGTGCCCTGATAACATTTGAAATGGAATAAATCAGATCACTTGTGAAAAAAACCCAATGTTCCCATGTGGTTTGTAGAATATTAGCCATAGGAATAGAGCAGGGCTTTTCACTTTCTAACATCTGTATTGATCCTTGGGATCTTCTTAAAATACAGATTCTGGTTCTACAGCTCTGGTATGTGGCCTTGGAGCCTGCATTTCTAACAAGTTCACTACTCATGTGGTGTTGCTGGCCTGTCCACCACGCTTTGACTAGAGAGGCTGGGGCCCCATGTGGGCTGGATCCCACTGAATGACTTTCTACAAGACTAAAGGCTCACAGGGCTGAGGGGAAGCTTGAGTCTGAGTCTACACCTTTTTTCTCTGGACCCCTGAGACTCCCTTACCCAGAACCTACCATTACGGAAATGCCTCACCAAGGTCCTGGTCAGGGATTCTCCCTTGATCCGTCTTCCTCTTGACAAGCTGGGCTTCACGGGAGGGTGTATGGATGTTTCACACATGCAGGGCTACTTGTTCTAGTGGGTAAAGCTGAGGATTGACTATGGAAAGCTGGGCAATAGATTTCCATTTATTCACTCCTGGACACAAATTCCAAAGGTGGGCCTTCCAGGGGCATCACTTGAGGAACCTAAAGGAGAAATTATTAACCCAAGCCTCTCTTCAGGTTTTTCTGAAGAGTCCTTTGCTGCCCTTGAGGAGTAATGCCACCAAGTAGGCCAGGGCTGATGACTAAAGAGTCAGAAAGGGCTCAGAAAGTGAGACCTGGTCCAACTAAGAAATGACTGTGGAACAGCAGAGTCAGGTGGGAGGGGATGGAAGTGGCCAAGGCTGTCCCTGCCAGTAGGACATCTTTGTGGTAGACTAGGATAGAGGATAGACCAGGTAAGACTTGAGAAACTAGGGAACTATAGGCAATAGTCGGGAGGATTTCTGTGACATGTCCCATCCCCTTACTAAGATCAATGGAATTGACAAATCTGTAGTAAGACTGATGAAGAAAATTAACAATCTCAGGAATAAAGCAGGGATAGCCTCACAGACCCGTGGGCACTAAGGATTAAGGAAGCACTATACATACATGAATTTGGCAACTTAGTCAAAAATGAAATAATCCCTTTAAAAGTTCAGACTACCACAGATCACCCAAAATAATTTGAATTGTCCTGTAACCCTTAGGAAAAATCTGAACTTAGAATTTGAAAAGTTCCCCAAAATAGGGACTAAGGTCCTGGCTCTGAGGGTAGAGCTTGCCATGTAAGTATGAAGACTGAAGTTTGAATTCCCAGGAACAGCTGAAAGCTGGGAGATGTGGCTTCTACCTATAATTGCAGCATTTGGGAGGCAGAGGCAGGGATCTCCAAGAATGGTGAGCTCTGGGTTCACTGAGAGGACGTGCCTCAGAAAGTAAAATGAAGAGCTGTTAAGGAGGGTACCCAATAGCAATCTCTGGCCTCCAAGTGCACATGCACACCTCCAACACACTTGTGTGTCCACATACAGGAAAACACGCATACACACATGCACACCTCCAGCACACATTGCATACATGAGAACATACATACACACATACATACATATATGCACCCACACCTCATACAAGTTCCCCAAAGAGAGTCTGCATCCAGGTGATTTCAGTGAAACATGCTTGCAAATTCTGAAGAGCTAACAGCAGTGCTTTGCAATATCTTTGAGAAAAATAGAGGCAACCAGTTCCTGGCTTGTCTCATGAAGTTAGCGTAAGCCTGATACTAAAACTAAAGGCTAGCACGGCAAGCCTTGATCTTCCGAGAGTAGCCATAAAGACCGATAAAACGGGATATTAGCAATAGTATTCAGCAAGCATCATCAAGTGCAGTTTGTTTCAGAGATACAAAGCTCAGTATCCACAAATCAATCAGTGTCACCCACCACAGTGACAGAGTGAAACAGTAAAATCACACAATAGATTCAGAAAGGACACTGGGAAAAATTCTACCCTGTTCATAACATAATGATTCTTGGAAAAATGAGGGAAGAGGCACTCCCTCGCTTTGATAAAGGATGTTCACAGGGAGGCTGCAGAGCATGTTACTTGGTGGTAAAGAAGGGACTGCTCTCTCTCCAAAACTCGAAACAAGGCAAGAATGCCCTCACCTACTACTCTCACTCAATGTAGAGCTAAGATTTCTAGCCAGAGAGAGGGAAATGAGGAAATGAAAGGTAAGAAAGATAGCATCTTCATCTGTAGGAACTCCTAAGAGTTTATAAGAACCTATCAGAGCAACAACCCCCGCTCCCCACTGCCAAGAACTAATAAATGCAATTGTGTTTTTATGTACTACCAATGTGCACGTGGGTGCTAAAATTGGAAAAGTACAATACATTTTAAGTTTTCTTTCCAAAAGATAAATGTGTAGACTTAAATTTGTCACAGCATGCGTAAGAGTTAGGTGTTAAAGAGTATAAAATTTGGATTAAATAAATCAAATCTAATCCAAATGAGTGAAAAGACATATTGTGTTTGTGGATTAGAAGACCCAATAGAGTAAAACTGACAGTAAACACACACACACACACACACACACACACACACACATCACTTCTCCCCAAGTGGCTCATAGGCTTAAGGCAGTTCCTATAAATATCTCAGCAAGGTGTTTTGTAGCTATAGACAGGATTATTCTAAAATTTACATGGAAATGCTGAGGGACTTCAAATAGCTGCAGACAGTTGTGAGAAAGAAAACGTGCGCAGGAGCAGCCACCTGATTGCAGGACTGATGACTTCAGTGACGAAGATCACGCGGCCTTGGTGGAGAGACACGGTGTAGAGGAAAGAAGTGGAGAAACCAGAGACGGGCAGGCGTAAATGCACAAAACCGTTCTTTTCCTGTTTCCCCTTTTACAAAGATGGAGAAGCAACCCAATGAAGCTACCTTCTAACAAATAGTGGTAGAGTACTTACGTATCCATAGGTTAAAAAAAAAAAATAACGTCAAACAGGAGCCTAATTCTCACACCTTTTATAAAATTTAATTTAATGTTTCTCTCAAGAGTGAGGAATCTAATTTCTTTTTTAAAGGAGTGGTGGGGGTGGGGTTAGGGAGCAGACGGGAAGGGGAGGATATAGTAATTGGTGTCTGTTTTCCCATCAGTGATTCTGTCCCTTGAAACAAACCCAATAGCTTGGGGTCATAGCTCACACAGTGCCCACCATTACAGAGCACAGTCTTGGATCACAGGGTTCAGGCTGTTCTGGAAATTACATAATTATCCACAGATGTCATCAAGACTATCAGTGCCCTTATGCCTCCTGGTGCCAGGGAATTCTTGAGGGGTCTTGGAGAGCCTTGGGGACACCTTCAGACCATGAAGTTCTAAGCTGGGAAGCTGTTTCTCTTCAGTGGCCTTCGGCAAGCATCTTCACTTCCCTGAGTGTGGGTTTCCATATCGGTAAAGTTTGAGTATCAAAAGGAAGCATAATGCCTAGACTATAAAGATGTTTGCTGATTTATATTACTGAATTACTTAACATTAATTGGAGTCATCTCACCTCCTAATGTAAAAGACAGACTTGTCTAAGATGACATGGGATGTCATACATGAAGAAGTGAAAGGTCTCCAGACCACGAATCTCTGCAGTTGGAAAGTGGCCAAGGAAACTCTTCTGGAGTTTTCTCTTTTTCTGCCACCCTGGTAAAGCCTTGTCAGAGCAGGCAAGTTAAAGGCCCCTGCACAGAAAGTGAGCAAGGACCTCAAGGCTGTGGTTCAAAACTTGTTACAGTTCCTAGTCCCTGCTGATTCTTTTGGAGTACAGCCCACGCTCCCTTTCTTTTATTTTTGAGATTGTAATTATATCATTTTCCCCTCCCCTTTCCTCCCTTGGAACCCTCACATCTGCACCTTTTTGCTGTTTTTTTTTTTTTTCAAGCCTTGTGTTCTTTTTCTTAATGAATTTGTTTTATATTCCTGCCTCAGTTTCCCCTCCCTCCTCTCCTCCCAGTCCCTCCCCCCACTCTTCTGTTCCTACCCCTGCCCCCAATCCACATCACCTCCGTTTCTGTTTAGGAAAGGGCAGGTCTCCCATGAGTATCAACAAAACATAAGCCTTGTGTTCTTACCTTGGAGTAATAGAGAGCCTTGGCTTTGACGCTGCACGGGCATCCTCAGTTGAATGTGTGTGATCTTTTCCTGCTTGCTGGAGCAAGCGTCCCCAGGGAATCTGCAAGCCCTGGTTTTGTGATTTCTAAGGCATAACATGCACTGATATTCTACATGGTGGTTAAGGGAAAGCAAGTGAGATCATAATTTGTTAATTCTATGGAGAGCACAGACAGATCCATCAAAGAGAAGATTATCTTTTTAAAGAGTGGAGATGAGGCAATATTTAGAATTGATATGAGGAAAACTGAATCATAAGTATATTTAAATTTTTCAGATTTATTTTACTTTGTGGATATGAGTGTTTTGCCTCCATGTATGTCTGGGCATTATGTGTGTGCCTGGTGCCCAGGGAGGTCAGAAGAGGCTGTCAGATCCCCTGGAACTGGAGTTGCTGGTGGTTCTGAGCCATCATGTGGGTGCTGGGACTCGAACCCAGGTCCTCTGCAAGAGCAACACGTGCTCTTAACGGCTAAGTCATCTCTCTAGCCCCAAAAACAGATTGATGTTTTTAAAAGGGTGTGTGTTAAACCAAAAAAACTAAAACAAGGGGCATAAAGTAGCTTCCTCTAAAAGTCACTAAAGATGAACATCTGCATTTACTTATGTGGAACTACATTAGTAATGATGCACATAGAATTTTAGATCTAAGAAAACTTGAATTTTAGGGGAAACTAGGGTTACACTTATTTTGTCAGTGAATGATATGTTTACATTAAGAGCTGAGCAATGGGGCATTTTTTGATCGATTTCAAGACAATAGCAGAAGAAGCAGAGCAGAAGCGCTGCCTGCCCTACACTTTCAGAATTTCATAAATGTTTGCCAAGCAACAAGCATATGAGAAGCAATTTTCTGGAAAATGTGACCATTTCATGCAATGCCCAGTGTCCTATAGACAACATTTTTAATTGCTATCTGGGAGGCGGTACTGATGAGCCAGTTTCTCAGATGAACAACCCGAGGCTCATGGGAATTCATCTGAATCCCCCAGGAATAAAGTGGCAGGACTCAAATTTGGTGCCAATTCTTGCCACTACTTATATTTAATAATTAAGGAAGTCATGATTTCATTAAGTCACACTCCCAGAACCATCAGGAAAGTCAGGAGATATTTATGTCCTCTTTCAAGCTGTGTTTAGGAAACAAAGTACTTGGGGCAGGACCTGGCAATTATCTCTTAAGTTAAACTCGGGTTCCTAGTAGTCTGCACACACACACACACACACACACACACACACACACACACACACACCCCTACCTTTTGCATTTCTCTCCTAAGTGCTACCACTGATTTTTGATAATATCTTTTAAGCAGGATGTAGATAGGTATCTATTTACTAAATCAGGAAGCTTAAGATGTGGTTTCTTATGTGTTCGAAATAGGCTATAAATTCCACTCTGGAAATCCCCACAGAACTCAAACCTTGATGCTCTGAAGGGTGAGAAAACTGGACTCTGCAATCATATAAATGATGTTAATCCTGACTATTGTACGAAATGAGTGTATAAACTGACTTGAAATATCTTTTGTTTATTTTAGCCACTTATGAAATTGAAATTGAAGAACTCCGAAAGGTATTGCTTCTCCTGTCCTTACTGATGATATGTGATTAAGAGTAGCATACTCCCAAAAGACGTGAGTCTAGGGTCCTTTCCAGCCAGACGAAAGCTCCCTATTTGAAGCAGGCTTTTTCTAGGTTCTAGTGGTCAGGGTTCTGAACCCCAGGCCTTTAATACAGAATTAGAAGGCGTGTACTGAGATGGGCAGACATGGTCTGAATTGATTCCTGGACCCTTATCTCTTGTGGTCTGTGGCAAATGACCTTTAATAATCATTTCTTTCAGAGAGAAATGTCCTTGAAGACAATCAAATTTATATATCTTATGCTTTCAAGAAAACAGAGCCCAGAAGCATACTTCCTGGGCTCCTACCAGTGTGGTACTAAATGCCACCTTGGAAGTGATGTAGCAATTCAGTTGGGGTCCGAAGTAGAATTCCTACTGGCCTTAGTCATAGCTCCTGGCTATGACCTTGAATGTTGGTCAACAAGGACATTGTATGGGACACCTGTACAATGGGAAGAATAGAATACCTACATCTGGAGCCCTTGTGAGGGGAGCATAGGCAAGCCCTGATGGAATGGTGTGTTGAGGAGGACCTGGAACTTGGCATTCAGCTCTCTGAATCACCACTCCTCTGTAAATGGAGTGTTCCCCATGGGGACAGGAAGCTTGTTTTATCACTGTGTCTGCCACAGCAGATGTTCAGTAAATGGGGGGACCAGTACTTCTTCAAATCACAGAGAGCAGTGAAGTGTCTGAGCTCTTAGTACAGTGTCTGACACATACAGTAGGCACTTCCTGAGCACTTTTGTGGGGTCAGTTAATGGTCTAGTCCACCCTCAGTGGGTACATTTTGTTTTCAAGCTGGGCAAGCAGAGTCCAATGTCATCTTTTTTGATGACTTGGCTGCAGGGCTGTGTGAGCACAGTTCACGCTCTTACGAGATACTCCTGGATCCTTGCAGAAGGCCTGGTTGCCTCACATCAGACTATTTTCTGTGGTTGTCCTCCTTTCTGGCAATTACCCAGTCTGCCTCCTGCTGGCATGTTGGTGTCTAGCAGCGAGCCCTTTATTTGATCAAGAATTGCACAACATTCAGTCCCCAAGATTACCCTGGGTGTCAGTACCCCTGCCTCCAACTATAAACAATGACTCGATGACTCGACTCGAGGGCTCAGAGCTATTAAGTAGCCAGTAATTAACATTCAAAGTATTTAAAAAAGGTTCCATGCGACTTGTTTACTGGTACTGATTTGCTAGAATTCTTCGAAGAACCACTAGTCGCTGAACTGAGGCCTGCAGGGCACTCCTCTAAGGGCTGTCTAGGCTGTGGAGACTACTTTCAGATTCTTATTTTCTGTTTTCTTCAGGGTTCTTGGCTAGATTCCAAACAATTAATGACAACAGATGTGGGACCAGTGATTAAGGGGAAGGGGGTTTTTGTTATGTTGTGACCACTGGGATGTAATCTTAACAAAAACTAAATCTCTGCCATTTAAGGGTGGAATTTGGATCAGAGAGCCTGTAGTTAGGGCGCCATCCAAGCAAGACTCACACACTGACCTTTGGCAACGGAAACTGCCCAGATGCCACGAGCTGTACATCCAGAAGCTCTTCTCCTTCAGGGGCATGCCTGGAAAGGGAGGCAGAGAAAACTGTCCAAGTCATGTTATGTGCTGTAACTTACAAGCACTGCACCTTCAGAAACACTGCTTTCTTTTCTGTGTGAGCTTCAGCCCCACGCGCAGGAGTCCATGGAACGCTCTGTGGCCATGGCCTGCTCTGGCCACATCCTGAGACTTCACCTCCCGCTTGATCACGTCACCTGATGATCTATATAACCAACAGCAGAGCCTGCTTTGGGTAACCTCACAGAAATGACCGTTTTCCTCTTTGTTTTCAGCCTTGGAGGAGTTTTCTCCATCCAGAGCTGAGGTAAGTTTTATCTCTAAAATGAAAGCACAGTCTATCCACCTCTGACTCATGATTGAATTCGTTTTCCCGCTGCGGGTTGGCTATATTCCCAGTGCATGGACTGGTCCTGTTTCCCCAGGGCCTTGTAAGACACCCAGTGCAAAGCAGGTTCTCAGTGACCCTGTCTGACTGTCCTTGCTCTTGTCATCGTAGCCCATGCTATATTCATGCAGCCAACTCTAGTGGACAAAGCAAAGAGGGGCAATTGAAGATAGAGCTGTAGACAACTCGCGGTAATCTAAAACAGACGGGCAAAATGGAGGGGATAGGGAGACAACATGATACTCCAGGGTATCCATGGAGGACTCGCAAGTATTGTGACTTAGACAGAAGAGAACTTGGATTTGTTAGCAATGTAAGATGCAAATGGCATGTTTGGAAACATTACTAGCTAATAAAAAGAGCAAGATGATCAAATAAGCTGGTGGGTTGGGGGAAACTGAGAATCCACACCCAAACAGACGTGGAGGGAAGGAATGAAGAGAGATGGAATTGGGAAGGGAGAAAAGTGGCAGACCACAGGAGGACTTAGAGTGCACCCTACGGGTACTAGAGAACTAAAAGGGTTTAAGCAAAAAATGATACTTCCACTGGTTGGAACAGGCAGAAGCTCATATAAGCTATCTGTCTGGTTGATCTGGTCCTGATTTCTCATCTTAAAGAAAGATTCACTTTTCTCAGCCGTCTCATTAGGATTGGGCCAATCTACCATCTACATGTAAGTCCTTACTTTTCCTTGGCATCTTCCTATTTCAGCCCTAGACCTAAGGATGAAGAAAACAACGTGAAGGAAAAAGAGCCATGGGAATTAGAACCTCAAAAGCGAGAGGATTCACATCGTGACCACCCTTCTGAGGTATCGGTGTCCTAGGACTCATGATGTAATTCAGAACATGGTCTTTCTCAAATACAAATCTGATCAGTGTCAGCCACTGCCTCTCTTACAAAGCTAAGAATAAAACCCCAGCCCCATTGTGGTGTATGTAAGAACATTCATAATTCAGCCCACCCCCATGTGTCTTTTGAGCCTCATCTTCAGCCTTCCCTCTCCTATTTCTTCTCCCTTTTCCCTTAGCTTAATTCTTGTCACAGCTTCCACACTACCCCTTCCGTAATATTAGGTCATTAACACTTCTCCAAATAGCCCATATCTTTGCTCATTCTGATTAATCTGCCAGATATTCCTGTCCCCTTCTATCAGTCTCCTACCTATGTTAAAAGGTATGTTTAAAAGCTCTACCTTTTAAAAGATAGAGCTTGATGAGTTCTGCTTTAGGAAGATTGCCCACATTCAGCCTCCCAATGGAAAGGAGAAATCTCTCTCTCCATCCTCTGTTGCTATGGCTGTGAACACTTCCATAAGTAATATCCTATTACACCCTAATTTCCTGTGAGTGTTCACTATGACCAACGTCTGGGATGCTCAGTCCATTGCCTGGCCTACTTCCAGAGCTTTTCACGTTGTCTTACATTCAATATAGGTCTCATAGATAAGGAAACACAGACTTGAGAAGGAGTACAGGGGAAGTAGATAGAAGGTAAATGTCAGGTAAACTGGAGGAAAGGAGGGCTACCCAGAAGCCCCCTTACATGTGGTGAGAACAGGGATGTAGGGCTAAGCCCTCTCTCAGTAGATTACTAATAATGAAACCCATCATCAGTTATTTGAGCTGCCTAGTTCTTTATCAGGAGGACTAGTGATATTTCTTCTCACAGGATGCCATGATGGTTGAGATGGAAAAAAGAGCCTGACTTGGAGTCAGCCTTCCCATAGGCCTGACTCTGCCAGGCATCCATTGGCTCTTCAGAAATAAGTGAAGGTCATGGTATGGACTCTGGGAGGATGTAGGCTCTAGTAAGACAGCACTCAACAACCTGTAATAATTAAGAGCTGTTCTCACGAAGAAACACGTTCTGAAGCCCAGAGTGCATGAGCAATGAACTGATTTGACTATCAGCCCCAGCACTGCTCTCCCTGTTGTCTGTGTTTAGGCAGGTGTATATGAAGGGACACCAGAAGAAGTCCATGAGGACAGAAGGAGTGCTCCAGCTGGAAACCCAGAAGCCATGACTGACATCACTCCGAACAGGCTCTTCCCCGAGGATATGATGCTGACCAGGCCCTACCAAGATAAGGGTAAGTTGTATTTCCCCTGGAATCTCTTCACTACTAAATTGTTTTAAAGGGGAGCATGGCCAAGATCATAATTTATTTATAAATATATAGTGACATTTATTATGTTCCTAGTAACTTGACTGTGAGGGCTGTCTTCCCCAGAGTAATGGAAAGAACACTACATTTAGAGGCAAGTGGCTTGAGTTCAAGACTACACAAGTGTGAACTTAACAGTTGTGTGGTGAGTTTGTATTCCAGTAGTTCAATTTCTCCATCAAAAAGGGAATCTGAGCATGGACCTCACAGGAGTTATGAGGACCACATCCAACAGTATGTCATGTGACAGTCTTGTTCTTTTCTTGTCTGCCTATTGGCCCTGCTCTCACCATTAGCAAACTGATATGTCATGCAGCATCACGAAGTGACTATTTCAGCTGCATTTTCTTCCTTCACATTAGTCAGAACCCTTGATTATAAACAAGAATTAAATCATACTTGGTTAAACCACATGCTTAAAGTAGGCTCATGTGGCAGAAACTCAAGGCATGCCTGGATCCAGGGACACAGATAATATCACAAGGACAAAGTGTCCCGAGTTCTCCTCTAATGTAACTGTTTTTCAGGCAGAGTCAAGTCCTATAAAGTCTAGCTGGCAGCAAGCATTCATTGATAGAGTTACAAAGTATTCTCTGATAAGCCCCAAAGGACAACTTGTAATTTTTATCTTTCCAAAGATAAAAGACATGAGTCTTATATTGTGTCTGATTGAGTCACATGCCGTCGCTGATTAAAAATCTATGATGATCTGATTGGACCAGGCTGTGTCACGTTCCCATTGAGCTAGGAGTGGGTACAGTCATTTCTACCAAACAACACACCATCTGTCTTAGTTACTTTTCTATTGTGAAGAGACACCATGACCAAGGCAACATATAGAAGAAAGAATTACAGAGGGTTTACAGTTCCAAAGGGTTGGAATTCATGGCTATCATGGCTGGAAACACGGCAGCAGTCAGGCAGGGATGGTACTGGAGCAGCTGAGAGCTCATGTCTTATCTGTAAGTACAAGGCATGTGAGGGTGAGCTAACAGGAAATGGTATGAGCTTTGAAACCCACTCAAAGCCCACCCCAGTGGCATACCTCCTCTAACAAAGCTACACCTCCTAATCCTTCCCAAATAGCTCTACCAACTGGGGACCACGTATTCAAATATATGAGCTTATGTGGACCATCCTCACCCAAACCAAGACACCATCCCATAGAAGGAAAACAAGACAGCTGTTATAAAGAGAAGCAGAGTAGATGCTGCATAGATGAAGGAAAGAAATGCCCATTGCACCAGGTGGTGCTGGTGCACACCTTTAGTCCCAGCGCTCATGAGGCAGAGGCAGACTGATCTCTGAGTTCAAGGTCAGCCTGGTCTACACAGTGAGTTCAGGATAGCCAGGGCTTCACAGAAAAACCCTGTCTTGAAAACCCAAAAAGGAAGGTCCATTGCAGCACATTAGTCCACTGAAAGCTATGGATGTGATGTATTAAAGCCAGAATAGGATGAATTCAGCGATCAAAACGTGGAATCAGCATCCTTTAAAATCTCCTCCAGTCTCATAGGCTTCCCCTGTGCCACCTACTTGCCCGCCCGTGCCCCCCCCCCCCCCCGCACCCTGCCCCTCCACCACTGCCCCGATTATCTGCTACGGTCAAATGGTTTCAGAGCATGTCATGAGCTTAAATGGTCTTACATTTTTACTTCATGTCTTTCCTCTACCTGGGATGCTCCTGTATCCCCTCTCTTAGCTTATTGTGTCCCATCACCTCTCCAAATTCATCCTTAACGTCACTTCCGAAGTTGTCTTTTCTTCAGCTCATTTCTACTTTCCAAAATACTGACTATTCTATCCTGAAAAGACTCAGGCAAACTAGGATGTATTTCTTAAAAGATACAAATAAAAGAGTTAGCAGGCAAAGCGCAGACAAGGTGAAGATGTTTTCCACATACGTATTGTATTAGTTACTTCATTGTTGTGATAAAATGCCATGACCAAGGCAACTTGAAGAAGAAGTTTATTTGGACTTGTAGTCCCTCATGGCTCGGAGGCATGGCAGCAAGTGGCGGGCATGGTGGCAGGATCAGGAAGCTGAGAACTCAATCTTCAGTGGCAAGCAGAGAGAGAGCAAACTGTATGTAGGGCGAGGCTGTTTAATCTCAAAGCCCACCCCCAGTAACAGACTTCCTCCAGCAAGGCTGTACCACCTAAACTTCCCCAAACAGTGCTACTAACTGGGAACCTAGTGTTCAACTACATGAGCCTGCAGGGGCCATTTCTCATCTAAGCCACCATACATGATTACCGATTTGACCAAGAACTCATATAGGGAATATATACATCTTTTATGTAAGCATCTTTATAGTCACAAAACACAAAACAGAAATTAATCATTAAAAAGGATGATAGATATTGAAATTGGGAAGATACTTGAACCAGCATTTCATCATAGAAGAAAGAGGGTATCCAAAAGGTAAATACGCCATGAGAGCCCAAGTTCATTGACTCTCCCTGAACTGCAAGTGAAGACTACCTGCCATCAAAACACCTGCAATGGAAGAGACTAGAAATATTCAGTGTTGGTGTAGATATGGACCAGGTAGAATATTTATATTCTGAGGAGATTGTAAACTAGGACCATCACCTTGGAAAACTGTGAATATTAAAATCAAACACATGCACATTCAATGGCCTAGACACACCAGGATGCATATATCCCTGGCAGAAACATGTATTTAATTAACAAAAATATACAAATTGATTGTGCCAGAACATTTTTATAACAGTCTCAGACTGTAAACTGTTTAAATGAAGAGGAGAATGGAGGTCTGGGCATGACAGGAGCCTGACACTTGGGAGACAGAGGTAGAATGAGAGAGCATTTAAGGCAGCCTTGACTACCTAGTGAGGACTGTGTCTTCTGAGGGGAATGCTGCAACAACAAAAACACCGAGTGGATAAATACGTCACATCCCGTCCACACACTACAAGAGAAAGTTCAGTCATAGTAAAGGAGAAGTTGCAACTAACTATCTGCAACAACCTGAAAGAATCTCTCAACATAATGCTGAATGCAAGTGTGCAGCACCAAGGAGTGCAAACTGCATCACTGCATTAGTGCAAAGGTCAAAAGTGGGTAGGATGCATCAACACTGGGAGTCAGAACAACCGTTACCTGTGGTAAGGAAGAGTGTGAAGCAGAGAGCCCCAACATTGGAGTCGCTTGCTTTGATCTGTGTGTGTGAAGATGTTCAGCTGGAGCCAGTCCTTGGTCTGTAGTTTTGTGATGTGTTCCCCTGTGTAGTATGTTGTCATTAAATCTTAAAACAGGACTAGGGATGCAGTTCAGTTGTGAGTGCTTGCCTAGCATGGACAAGACTCCAGGTTTTCAATTCACAGCACTGCAGAAGTAAAAAAAAAAAAAAAAATCATGAAAGTAAAAAATATAAAAAGGTTTTAAAAGAGCAGGTAACTATTAAACACAAACGTAACACTATACCTTCTAAAATGAGAAAATTTTAAATTTTGAAGAGCAGAAGCCTTAGTTATCAGGAGAGAGATTTAAAAAGCAGAGAAAAGTTTAAAATATGTTATAAGAAAATAGATACAAACATTTCAATAGCAGTCAATTCTGTACATGTTAAACTTACTAGCTAGAAGATGAGCTCAAATTTTTCAAAATTCAAAGTATTTTAGTGTTCTTTGCATGCCCTGTACACCTCAAGGTATGGGGGTTTAGTGATAAAAGAAACAGCCAAAGAATTCTCCTTCTGTCATGCACGTAGGACTGAAGACCCTACCTCCCATTCTGCACACACACACACACACACACACACACACACACACACACACACACACACAAATCAACTCAAAATGGATCAAGGGCCTTAGTGTAACAACTGAAACCTAACATCATGAGAAGGACACACCGGGGAAACCTTAGAAATGTAGGTATAAGCACCAATTTACACAAAACAGTGGTGAGAACTGACAAATGAGATGTACGAATACAAATGCTTCTGGCCACAAAGAAAACAGCAGAGCACACAGTCAGCCTACAGAATGAGGAGAGATCTTTGACAGCTATTTTGAGAATGTATAGAGTTCAACACTGAAAATCAAATAAGCCATTCAATAATTGGGCACATGAATACAACAGACACTTCTCAAAAGAAGTACAAATAAATTACATGGAAAAGCATTCAACTTCCTCAGCTGTCCAAGAACGTAAATCAAAACTATCCTGAGATTCCATCTTCCCCAATCAGAATGGCTATCATAACAAAAGAAAACAAACTCTAGAGAGAATGTTGAGGGGACCCTTAAACACTGCTGGTGGGAATGTGAATTAGGGCAGCTGCTATGGAAATTGATATGACAGTCTTTGAAAAAACTAAAAATGGAACAGCCACATGACACGGCTATACAGAGATGGGCGTATGAAGATAGAGAACTAAGTCAGCCCACTCGAGTTTATCAGAGCACTGCTCAAAACAGCCAAGTTATAGAGTCACCTTCAACAGAGGACTCGCTAAAGAAAATGGGACACACACACACACACACACACACACACACACACACACACACACGCACGCACTTTATGTTATTAAGAAGAATGAGGAGGATGGGGAGATGGCTCCGTTAGTAAATATCTTGCCTTGGTATGTGTGCATGAGAACTCAAATTTGGTCATTGTAACCTGTGTTTAAACAAATAAACAGTAACAATAAAAACAGGCATGATGCTATGCTTTGTAATTCCATCACTTGAGAGACAGAGATAGGCAAGATCCCTGGGACTCACTGGCCTGCCCAGTGACTTCCAGGCCAGTGAGAAAGTCTGTCTCGAAAAACAAGGGAGACAGAATCTGAGGAACAACACCTAAGTTGGACTGCTGGCTTCCATAGACACATACACACTAACACCTGGAAGAATGAAATTATCATTCGCAGGGAAGTGGGTGAAATTGGAGAGGAACTGAAAACTCAAAGGAAGTAATCATGTTCTCTCTCCTGTGGAAAGACACTGACAAGGAAGAGAAAGGGGTCCATGTGGAGGGAGGGGGTAGGTAAGACAAGATAATGGATGTGGTGAATAAGATCAAAATGCATACATTGAATATAAAAGAATGCCACAATGAACTGCATTCTTTTGTACAATTAATATATAGTAATAAAGAATCCCAGTCCCCATAGGGGTTACTTTCTGATCAAATGAAGACAGACAAAAATAATGAAACATTCTTATATGAAATGGAGGTAAATGATATAAAAAAGGAAAGAACATTAAGGAGGCCATGGACGTTGGAACTTGAATGTGTCTGTGGATGACCTCAACGGCCTCAAGTAGATCCAGAAAGGATAGTTAATCCTGCTTGTCAACTGCATTTAGAGTCATACAGGAGACATGACTCTTGACATGTCTGTGAGGGAACTTCCTGAGAGATTTAGCTGGGAAGGCTAGACCCATGCTGCCCGTGGGTCTCACCATCCCACATTCTAGAGTTCTGGACTGAATAAAGAACAGGAAAGAAGAGAAGGCAAGCTAAATAACAGCATTCAGCTCTCTTCCCTACCTGATTGTGGATGCAGCATGACCAGCTACCCCAGGCCCCTACTGCCATGACCACCCCACCATGATGGAGTGTGAGCCAAATTCAACCCCCCTTCCATAAATTGCTTTTGTCAGAGGTTACGTCATAGCAATAAAAATAGCAGAGGCATAGTGTATCTGATATAAGAATATTCTAGGAAGAAAGGAAAAAGGAGGAAATACTTCAGGCCAGAGTTGGTCGTAGGTGTTGGTCCCTGTGACTGGACCAGAGAAGCTGCAGAGAGAGAGCAGTGAGGGAAGAAGGCCAGCACAGGCTTTTCGAAATCCCTTCGAGAGCTTTGGCCTTTGCTCTCAGCGAGACTTTTTTTCAAACCATCAAGAACTTCCGGCACACAAAAAAGTCATGATCAGAGTTGTGTTTTAAAGAACAACCTGGCTGAGACTAGATCAGTTATAAGCTAAGTCGGAGAATTTGTTGTTATTGTAGTGATTTAGGTGAGAGGTTTGGTGGAGGGCTCTGTGATAGAACTGTGGAGGTGTGCCTGGATTTACCATGACACCTCCTTAGAGATAACAGGTGAATGTTGATAGGATGTGAGATATGGAAGAAAAGAAGGGTGTCTCCAACACTTGGGGCCTGAGATACCCGAGCAATGGGAAAGGTATTATCAACTTTTTTAGAGGACAGTAGATTCAGAGACTAGAAAATTTTAAAAAGGAAATCATGAGATTGGTATGAAATCCAATATGCCAAATGGAAATGGCATGAGGGATTATGGTGGATCTGGAATTGTCTGTTGAAGATATACATTTGTGAATTATGTTTCTAAGATGATTCCATAGTGCTTTTCATGAACTAATAAGGAAGATTAAGAATCGAGGGACTGGAGAGATGGTTCAGTGGTTAAGAGCACTTGGTCATACAGAGGATCTGGGTTTGGTTCCCAGCACCCAATGTGGTAGTTCACAGTCATCCATAACTCCAGTTCCAGCGGATCCAACATCCTCTTCTGGCCTCCACAGGCACTAGGTCCACATGTGATGTACACACATACATGCAGGCAAAACACTCAAAACCTATAAGGTAGAATAAAAACATTTTTAAAAGGAAAGAAAAAGTGCCCAACTATGTGCTTAGCATCTTATTTTTGCTAAAACTATCCTGCTAACTTCTCTAGAAAAAGTGAACCACCTTCCTCTGGGAACTAACCCTCTTTTGAAGTACTTTGAGGGTCACATACTTCTTGCAATAGGATAAAATCTTCTCATTTGGCTCATTTAATTAATAGATACCGGCCACTTTCCTTATTGCATATTTTTAGATACACTTCTTAGGATAAGTAGTTTGTGTCTGAAATGAAAATAGCTCTGAAGCACCCACAGACTGAATATGAAGCTACACCAACTGACAAAGAGGTGACAGTTTTATGGTTATGACAAGTTTACAGCTGAGAACTATTTATCGGGTTGGCTACCCATGCAAACAATCCTTATGGACTTTTCACATTGGCACATTATCTTCTAGTTAATTTTATGATTAATAATACATGTTGATGTCTGTTCAATTAACTTAAGAAACTTTAAGAAAGATAAAAACTACCAAAAGGCCGGGCGGTGGTGGCGCACCTCCCAGCACTTGGGAGGCAGACATAGGCAGATATCTGTGAGTTCAAGGCCAGCCTGGTCTACAAAGCAAGTTCCAGGAAAGGCGCAAAGCTACACAGAGAAACCCTGTCTCGAAAAACCAAAAAAAAAAAAAAAAAAAAAAAACTACCAAAAGACTACACACAGGCCGTTTTGATGGTGGAGAAAATCTCTGAGGCTGAAGGACTTCAGCACAGAGGATCAGAAGCAATGGGAAGAGTCGTTAATCTGGGGAAGAGCTTTGGTTTGCTGGGGAATTAGCACTCTTTATGAACATGTGCTTGATCCTTGCACAGTCACATGGAAGGGGCTGTTAGTTACTGTTATTGGTTGTTTTTACTCTTTTGGGTGGCCCACCACGCAGCTCCCAAATAAAGGAGGCTTATTCTTACTTATAAATGCCTTAGCTTGGCTTATTTCTAGCCAGCTATTCTTAACTTAAACTATCCCGTCTATCTTTTCCCTCTGGGCTTTTACCTTTCTCTATTTCTTTATATCTTTCTTTCCTTCTTATTCTGTGTCTGGCTGTGTAGCTGGGTGGCTGGCCCCTTCTTCTCTCATTCCTTCATCTCTCTTGCTCCCTGATCTTTCTTGCTTCTTCTCCTTCTATTTATTCTCTCTGTCTGCCAGCCCTGCCTATCCTTTCTCCTGCTTCGCTATTGGCCATTCAGCTCTTTATCAGACCAATTGGGTGTTTTAGACAGGCAAGTAACACAGCTTCACAGAGTTAAACAAATGCAACATAAAAGAATGCAACACATCTTTGCATCATTAAAACAAATGTTCCACAGCCTAAACAAATGTAACACATCTTAAAATAATATTCCACAACAAGTTACCTCAACTTCAGGGATTTGTAACAGACTCTGCAAGACGACGGTGGCTTATCCCAGACCATGCAGACCATGTTTCATTGGCACAGTGACTAAAGGACAGAACAGAGGAAAGTTTGATTTGGTCTCAGAGTTTTGCTCCATAGTCCTCGGCTCTGCTACTTCTAGGGTTGTAGTAGGGCAGAGCATCAGAGTTGTGAAAGCATGTGGGGACGATGTAGGTCATGGTGGACAGGAAGCCGAGAGCAAAGACAGGATAGGGATAGCCTTTAAAGGGTTACTCTCTACTGACCTGCTTCCTCTAAGCAGGCTCTACCTCCTGAAGTTTCCAGAACCTTACAAAACAATGTCTCCATGGAAAACAGAGCATCAGACACATGAGCCTTGGGGGACATCTCCTGCTAAAATGAGCGCATGCCCAGAAGGCATTCCACTTTCTTCACCCGTAGTCTGCCTTTTCCTGCGGGTGCAGCATCGCCAGGGATGAGTACAGAGGTGTCCCTAATAGCTGATGATGATGTCTCAGGGCTTCTCCTATTTCCCTTACAGGTGGGTATGTGGAGGCTTTGGAGGTGACCAAAGAAACCCCAAGTCCAAGTACCATTAGGTCAAACTCCTCTTCAGAGGAGACTTATGACGATGTGGGGTGCTCCAGAGAAGATCTGTAAGTGTCCTCTCACCTTCCAGAAGGAGGGATGTGGCAAAACTGTGGAGGTGCGCCGGGTTAATGGTCTGTATATCTTTCTCCACAGACCCAAGTGGGACTTCTCCAGCTCATTCACCTCAGACAGCGGTAAGTGCTGGTTGGAATCACAGAGTGGTGCTGAGGCTGAGCCGTGATGGTGGACTTTTCTTTGGACACATTTTCAGTGATTAGGAACTGGATGTGGAGATGAAGAGCAGTGGTACAGAGGCATGGGTTTAGAGGAGGGAAGGGCATTCTTGTGGCAGAAAGCCTCTCCACATGAAACTGCTCTTTTTGCCCTGCCTTAACAGAGCAAGTCTGATAAGTGGTGTGTGCATTTATTTAAAACACCATCAGGGCTTCCTAGTGCTTATTAATTTTTGATTATGTGGATGTGGGTATGAGTGGGGGCAGGTGTGCATGTATGTACAAGTGCCTGTGGAGGCCAATTGTGTTAGGTTCCATGGAGCTGGAGGTTTTGCCATTTTTTAAATCTACCCTATGTGTGTGTGGGAACTGAACTTGGGCCCTTTGCAATCGAAGTATGTGGCCCCAACTTCCTAGTGCTTTTAATATCAATATCAACAGGGCCTAAAGCAGTGGTTCTCAACCTTCCTAATGCTGCAACCCTTTAATACAGTTCCTCATGTTGTGGTGACCACCCCCCACTATAAAATTGTTTCCATTGCTACTTCATAATGGTAATTTTGCTACTGTTATAAATCATAATGTAAATATCTAATATGCAAGATATTTAATATGTGACCCTGGTGGAAGGGTTGTTAGACCTCCAAAGGGTCATGACCCGCAGGTTGAGAATCTCTGGCCTAAAGGCTTTGGCTGGCCTGCCCCTCTTTCCAACATCTGTGTAGCTTCATCTCATACTATACTCAGTTTTCCCCTTTAAGAGGCTTTCCTGTCAACTCTGCCTCTGCAATGCCAACCAGAAGATGTCTGCAGGTGCCCATGCCCATTTAAAGTAATACTTGGTGACTAAGCATTCAAAGATATGAGCCTCTGGGGCTAGTCTCAAATCTCTACAGAGGATACTTATTTTTCAGGTAGTATTTTCCAATAACTTGTAAAATAGCAGGTTTTTCATATCTTTTATTTTTGTAGAGATCCATAGTTATGTTTACCTCCCTCCTTTTCCCCTTTTCTCCTATCTTTCCCATTTCCTGCTTAGACCTACGTAGTGAGTTTCAGGATAGCCTGGGCTAAAGAGTGAAACAGTCTCTCTCTTTGTAATATATATTTCATACACACACACACACACACACACACACACACACACACACACACACACACACACACACCACACAACGGGCTAATCAAATACTATTCTGGGCTGGCTCCTTAGAGTCCAGAAATTTGACACGTATCCAATATTCACTCTTTAATAAGAGAACAGAGGTACAGAGAGAAGTTAAAGAACTCTGCATGCTCACTGTATTCCAGCAAAGTTTGAAACTCTAACATTTATACATTGACTCCAATGCTGTTTCCTGTAGACTATTTCCAGGATACCATCTGTGTCCATCTGTGTATATTAAACTTGTGTGTTAGGCTGGTGCAAAGGGAGACGTTCTTTAGTGTACATGGGTTTTCCTTTGTTTCCCCAGTGTTTAGCATGCTGTCTCATGCATGGATGACCACAGCTGTTCTGCACTAACTGTGGGAAGGAAGGAGGGTGAAGGGCATATATCTGTTGAGAAATGAGCTGCCTTTGGCTGAACCAGATCCCACATGGAATCAGACGCAGAAGACATGCCTAATTCTCATTTATACAGCTTTATAGATGTTTATGAATTTTTATCACGTGCTTATGAAAACATGCATATACATCAACAAAACTCACTTAGCTAAATAAAAAAACAAAGTTGAAAGTACTTGGCAGCTCATGTTTTTTTTTTTTTTGTGTGTGTGTGTGTGTGTGTGCTTCTTAATTTCAGAGGAAAATAGTGAAGACATGTATGAAGATATCTACAAAGCAAAGAATAATGACCAAAAAACAAGGTGAGTTTCTTTCTTGGATTTGGATTGTATGCTGATAGTGTTTCTTGTTTACCTAGTAAGCCAGGGTTGAAAACATGGCGCCATCCCCTACCACCATTGTTGGGGAAGATTGCTCCGAGTGATGATATGTTACTGAAATAACTGCATTGTCATTGGCAGCATATTCCCTAGCATGTGCAATCATACATCATAAGATTGAAGATTCGTTGCTTTCTCCTTGGAGAAAATGTTCATTTTCTAGAGTAGAGAACTTTTATATTATGTGTTAAGAAGTAGTTGAGACAGGGGAAGTAAATAACAACAGACTTTGTCTTGGCTTTATAGTTGCTTTTCCAGGATCAAAGCAGTAAATATAACTTAGCTTTTGTCTTTGTGAGTTAGTCAGACTCTGGGATTTGGGATTTCCTCACAGGTATTGCAGATGATGTTTGCTCAAATGATCAACACTGGTCAAGTTTAATTATGAAGAGCAAGGAAAAGAAAAGAGCATAGTCAACAGTGAAGAGTCTGGGGATAAGGGACACTGTGATACTGGGCTGGTTATGTAGGTGAACTCTCTTTAGACTACATCCTCCTAAACCAAGATGATATTAGAATTTCATCATCAGCTGACCCATCAATATGTCACCACTACTGTACACTCAGTTACTGAAGAGTATGTTGAAAATCAGTGATGGCAATTCCAGGAACCAGTAATTCCTCTGATGTGTCTCTAGCATCATTTAGGAGTGAGTGTTTCCCCAAATTATTTTCTCCTCATGAAGGAAGACTTTGCTTCATAATCTCTACAAAAATGAACACTGCTTGTGGTAGATGAATGTTTGGACACACTATAATTCCTCTTTCCATGGCTACCTCAGATATGCTTTGTATTAGGGTCCCAGAAAATTTCACTCCTAATTGCTGAGGCCTTTCCTTGCACTTCCTCAAGGGAGTCTCTTTCAGACGTGAGGCTGGTCCTTGATAAGCCAATAGCATTCTATCCCAATTCTAGGACCGTCTCAAATGCCGTGTTGTTTTATCTCCTCATTCCTCTTAGTGTAGATGGAAGAGCAGCCCTGAGAAGACTGCAGCAGCTCTTCAGGAACGAGAAGGGCATATTCAGAATGAAGAAAGCCAAGTCAAATGTCAGGTAAACGGGCCCCATTAGCTTTTCTTCCTGGAGTTTACCAGCAACACTGTCTTTCACACACATGCTTGCTGTTTTCCTTCCAATTCTCAGCACCGGTGACAAGAGTGTCAGAACTATAACTATAAAGCCCCAGTACATGACACCCTAAAAAACCAGTGAGAAAAATAATTACCAGTATAGGCAAGCAAGATCCAGAATGGAAAATTTGTAGTCTTCCTTGGCTCCTAGTGTCATTATCACTAAATATTATGTTAGTAGTTATATCCTTTTATGTTCTCTTGAACTCACACTCTCCAGTAGTCTTCATGTTCTCTTGTTCACACATACTCCAGTGGTCTTCATGTTCTCTTGTCCACACTCTCCAGTGGTCTTCATGTTCTCTTGTCCACACTCTCCAGTGGTCTTCATGTTCTCTTGTCCACACCTACTCCAGTAGTCTTCATGTTCTCTTGTCCACACCCTCCAGTGGTCTTCATGTTCTCATGTCCACACATACTCCAGTGGTCTTCATGTTCTCTTGGACCCACACTCTCCAGTGGTCTTCATGTTCTCTTGTCCACACATACTCCAGTGGTCTTCATGTTCTCTTGTCCACACTCTCCAGTGGTCTTCATGTTCTCTTGTCCACACATACTCCAGTGGTCTTCATGTTCTCTTGGACCCACACTCTCCAGTGGTCTTCATGTTCTCTTGTCCACACCCTCCAGTGGTCTTCATGTTCTCATGTCCACACATACTCCAGTGGTCTTCATGTTCTCTTGTCCACACTTTCCAGTGGTCTTCATGTTCTCTTGGACCCACACCCTCCAGTGGTCTTCATGTTCTCATGTCCACACATACTCCAGTGGTCTTCATGTTCTCTTGGACCCACACCCTCCAGTGGTCTTCATGTTTTCTTGTCCACACTCTCCAGTGGTCTTCATGTTCTCTTGGACCCACACCCTCCAGTGGTCTTCATGTTCTCTTGTCCACACATATTCCAGTGGTCTTTATGGTCTCTTGGACCCACACCCTCCAGTGGTCTTCATGTTCTCTTGGCTGAACACTCACCAGTGGTCTTCCTTGTATACACATCCATGCTTACTTTGTCTACTTTGAAAGCAGCAATGTGTGTCTCATGTGGTCATGGGTAATCTGCTCTGCTGACCTGCCTGTGAATCTCAAGGTCTTGGACTTAGAAAGGCCCCCTCCCCATGTAACCTCCACTATTAGTTTTGGGGGGTGATTCCAAATTCACCAGCAGTGAAAGAGACAGGAGTTTCTTCCATTTTTGTTTACAGGACCATGGTTCCCTCATGGATGCAGTGGGAGGGGGACTATATGGTCTCTGGGGACAGTCTTTCTGTACAATATCAATACAGATAAGACAAGTCTAGATCTGTCCTTTGTGGGGGCACTGGAAAATAATTTGCTAAAATCATCACCTGCATTGAGATAGAATGAAGCTACTCTTCTCGAAAGCTCTTCCCAATTACATTGCCTTAAAATTTTGTGATTTTTAAGTCCAGTTGTCCACTGGGGCTAGATCTCCCAGGAGAGCCAATGGACAGGAGGTAGGTACTGCAGTCTGGATCACAGCAGAAGAGATTTTGTTACTTGATTTTCTGTCTCCCTTCAGGACAGAAACTGTATCCAATCATCTCACTCACCTAGCATCAGGGCTTGGCTCATGGTTACTACAAAAATACCTGTAGTACTGAGTTTAAATTGAAAGCATCAAATAAATAGGCTTTTTTTCTTTCTTTTTTATTTTTTTTCCTTTCCCTTTTCCTATCACACATCTCTTTCCATGTGACCTCTTTAGCAGTGAGAGAAGAGAACCAAACCTAGCTGGACAGCATGTCCTCTCCCACTTAGCAATTTGCCATCTTACATTTCCACCAGACCAGCATTTCTCTGGAGAAGTCTTCCTTTGGCTTAAAAAACACAGACGGGCTGCAATGTCTGCAGAGAGTCCCGATGAATTCATCTGTACACTGTTCTTTCTCATCAATCCTCATGCTCATTGAGTAGATCTGACTGTATCTTAGAAGGCTGTGAGGCAGCCTGAGTGGTCTAGTTAGGAAGTGAGTTACCGGAAGTCCGTAGGGATGAACGAGCTCATTTGGAATAGGGTAGAGCTGCAGGAGTCTCAATTCAGTTCTATCTGGACCAGGACACCGCCATTAGGATGGTGTTTTGGATTTATCTGTTAATGAGCATGACTTTGTTCTTTGACCTTTTTTTTTTTTTTGTCTTTTCTTCATTAGCAATGGATTTTCCATGTCACTGCCTGACTTAGGTAAGTAATGTTTACTTGATGTTGTCCACTGATATTTTGTCTTTAGGACTGGTGTGTTAAGGGGCAGGGGAAGAACATTGGTAATCTTTCCTGCTTTCCCAGTGAAAACTGGACCCATCAGAATGAAAGAAGATAACTTAAACAATGGTACTTCCTGCTTTGGACAGATGAGAAACATTTTTCTGGCACTTCCATAAATAGATGTTACTGTCTTTAGTAACATCTTTAGAACCCACATACTATACTTTGGATTGGGATTTATACCCAAGACTCTCTGACTATGAAGCTTAGGCATTCTGCATTGATACACATACCTCTGATGGATTTGATAGCCAGATTAAGACATGATAAATTGAGTATGAACATGCTGCAGTCCACACACTAACTGAATAAGAATGGGTTACTGGGACACTTTTAATTTGATAATAAAACAGCACTGTGTAAGTTATCATAATGCCTAACACATAGGATACACATACATATCTCAATACATGTGCAGTCCATGGAATTTGTTGATAAATGAGGACTGTGTGGTTTTTGTTCATTGGTTTTTGTTCATGGGCACAAAATATACTTTCATTTATAACTATGACTCAGTGATTCAAATATATATTTCAGAAATATAAACTGCCACACTGAATAACTAAGGTTATTATAGATCTGATGAATGCAGCTCTACCAAATATTGTCATAAAAAATTTTAAAGCAACTTAGAATAGGAATTCATCCTGCAGATAGATTACTCCTAATCCTCAAATCCACAAACCAAATTGCTCCAAAATCTGAAACTTTTTATTACTACCATAGTTGAAAAATTCTGTACCTGAATTCATGTGACAGGCATGTCACATAGAAGGCACAATAAACAACTGCATGATATTACCATTAGGATATGTGTATTAAGTGTATATGAAGCAATTACTATTTTGAGTTTATATTTGACGCCTATGTCCAAGATACCATCTCTATATATCTTACTGTGTATATGCAAATACTCTAAAATCCAAAAGGATTTGACGTCTGAAATTTTCTGTCCCAAAGCACTCAAAATGAGTGATGTTAAAACTATACCCCCCACACAAAGCTAAGAGTAATGAATAATTGAACATGAATTGTGAACATATCAAAATGTCCCAAATTTGTTCAAATGGCGAATCATCTAAAAAATCATGGAATTCTATATCACATGGTAGTATGAACATTACAAGCTGGAAATGTCTAATTATTATTATGTACTAACTCAGATTCAATGTAATACAATAGTATTGCAAAGGAACAATTACTTCAAACCAATACAACTTTGTATATGTTGGAAGGGGAGGGATCAGCAAAGACATTACCATTTTCCCCCCACTGGATATTCTGAAAAGCCCTCTCAATATGCTAGTAATATAAATTGTATTTTAGTTCCAGAAAATGGGGACAACTTACATCTTAACAAAATCAAATGGGTGTAAATGCACATGTAGGTCAGATATTCAGGGAGCTCACTAGTTTTTATTCCCTCAATTGAATTTCTTCCCCAAAGAGACTCATTTTGTTCCAGTCTGTCTATGCATTCAGAAAAAAAGGCTTGATGATGCATCTGTATACTTAGGTCATTGTGTATAATTTGGAAAGCTGGGTGTATATAAAGAATACCTAATAATTTTTTTGGTCTTGTCTCTGCCCTAGGACTCGGGTCTGAGGACATTACCATCTATGATGATGTGGACACAAGTGAGAAAGAATCAAAGTAAGTCACTTTATTTCACTGGTCATCATCTCTGCCGGCACTAGCCACTGCATGATGCTTTGATAAATACAGTCACAGATGATAAGTTTTGAAGCTCTGGTTAATTGGGTATCCTCTGCTGCCGATGTAATAAGCCAATTAAGCCAAATTATTAAGTTGAGATTTGATAAACAGAGCAAAGCAACTCCCAGGTGACTCTCAGGAAGGCAGGGGCAGTATGGAGACCAAGTCTTAAGTATCCTGTAGGCACGGTCTTGAGTAGCCCCAGGGAGGCTCTCGTAGGGGTGGGGCCTGGGGAGAGAGAGATGTGGGGCTTCCACCTAATCAGGAGAGCCAGATCCTGAGAGACCAGACAAACATTTTCAAAGAGAAAACAATGAATGCACCCGTAGACATCCCAACAAGTGTACCAAGTCAAAGGCACTGGAGCTCCAGGGTGCTTTTGTTTCTTATCTTTGAGTCCAGAGACTTGAAATTGTCAACACATTTAAACAGTAATCTTGTGTGCACTACAAAGCATGGGATAGCAAGGGTTGTTTGGTAGAACTGTTTTCAAGGTCTCAATAACTGCCATCTGTAGAAAGGAAGCTATTCTTACCTCAGTGGTCCTCACAGCTTCTTTCTTTCCATCTCCACCAGCTGCGTAGCTGGTAATGGAGGACATTTGTTTTCACCTCCTGGTCCCTACTCACTCTACTTGAACTTGTGCTGGGGTCTTGGTAAAGCCACTAACAATCCTTTGTTAAACCCAGGAGACATTCTTAAGATCAGATCATACTTGGATTTTTTTACAGTATTTTACAATTGTGGTCATGCCATTCTTAAAGGGGAAAAGTGTCCTGTTCTCCCCCCACCCTACCCCCATGTTTCCAGGTAACAATTTCACGTTCCTCCTCTTCGTTTCCCTTACGCTTTTTGTGTGAGTCCTGGCTGCCCATCCATGCCTTAAGGGTTGTATGTTCTTAGGATGCCCCATGTCAGTTCTACTCTCCTTCATACACTCCTTGTTTCTCCTTTTTGCAGGACTGAGGATTGATGCAAGGCATCATGCATGCTAAGCAAGCACTCTACACAACCCTCCTCCTTCATTTTATGTTATTTCATTTTCAGAGTTTTGCTAAGTTGTCCAAGCTGGCCTTGAACTTGGGATCTTCCTGCCTCACATTCCCAAGTAGCTTGAGTTACAGGTGTGATTCCCCTAATTTTCGCTCCTGTATATTTTTTACTGTTCTCTCACCTACACTCAAGAGTTCATTATAACCAAAACATCAAAATTTATATTTTAAGATCAGGTTTTTTTCTGAGTCACAGTTAAGTGTGGAGAGGTGTTTGCTATTAACTTACAGTTAATAGATCGTTCACTTCTGTGACTTTATCTTCTTGGGTTGGCACACTTTTTATCAGAACATTATCCTCATAGTTGTAAGAATCCCTTTCCTTGACTACATTTTCATGTAGTCTCATAACTCTGTGCTCCGACAACCATAGCTGTCAGGTCTAAGTCATGTGGCCTGACTCCAAAATGCAGTGTGTTAAGTTGGGCTTGTTATAAAACTGCACAAAATGATCTAGAATCTCAAGATGGCGGCTTTAGTGTCCGTTAGAGTGTCAGCACTGTTAAAAGCAGTGAAAAACAATAGTAATGTTTCTAAATGGAGGAGAGGCGAGAAACAGAGGCCACAGCTCCGTATATGTGGAAAACACTGTGTTGCAAGGTTTCTGGGATGAGTGTGGTGGTACACACTTTTAATCCCAGCCCTCTGGAGGCAGAGGCAGGAGGATCTCTATGAGTTTAAGGCCAGCCTGATCCATACAGTGAATTCCAGGCCAGTCAGGGCTATACAATATGACTCTGTCTGAAAAAAAAAAAAAGTTTGTTGAAGCAAAAGGCATATAATCAGAAAAGAAGCAGATATAGCATGACATGAGATTAGAAGAAGGCTCTGGAATTTTTAGACAACAGCCCTGTAATACCAAGTTAAAAGAATGAAACCTTTTCCTTGAAAAATAGTTTGTAAACGTAAGTTATAAAGAACAATAAAGCCGCCCCATCTCTAATAGCCAAGCACCAAAATATGGCCAACCCTGTCCTCGTCATCATATGCACACCCCTCACCTGCTCACTGGCCTCCCCCAGGGCGAGTACCTTCCCTGCTTTTGTTCTTTTCCTGTTCAAAACAAAATCAGATTAATTGAATTATAGATGACAAAAATATTGCTTCATTGTAAAAGTGATTTCATCCTTTATACATAATTCTATACCTGAGTTTACTCAAATCCACTGTTTTGCTACCATGATTTGTTTGTTTTTACTGCTCTTGGATTGATATTTCAGAAAGTGTATGTGTGTGCCACATTAATTCATCTATTCTCTTGTTGGTAGGTACTTAGTTCTTGAGTGATTTTGCTTTTGTGACCAGTACTTCCACAGATAATAGATTCATGTATCCTGTGTGCACTTGGAAGGGGAAATACAAACCATACATGGAATATAAATTCACAAGTGCCAGCCTAGCACATAAGGGTTTGCATTGATTGCAATGTTAACACATGGAACAGAGAGAAGTCATTTTTGTCAAGTGGGTGTCTGTAAATAGTATCACATCATTATAGTAATTGGCATTACTAACAAGCTTCAGTGCAGAGTTACTCACACTCATGTCTTTCTCCTATAGAGTCTGTCCATATCTTTTGATTGCTTTTCTGTTGTTTGCTGGTATTTTTCTTCATCTTAGGTTTTAAAACAATTCATTTTTGGACACAGCTCTTTTCTCACTTTCATGTCAGTTCCCACAATATCTTCTTCAAATGTTGACTAGCCTTTTCAAGTTTGTTTCTTGTCTTCCAAAGAATAGAATTTCAAGTTTAAATTATCAATTTTTTATTATTGCTTTTTATATCTTCTAAAGGACTCTTTCTCCCAGCTCATATGACATTCTCCTATACTCTCTTCTGAAAGTTACAACTTTGCCTTTTAAACTTAATCCTTAGGCCCACCTGAACTGATTTTTTTTTCCTTTTTGTTTTTCAAGACAGATTTTCTCTTTGTAGCCATGCCTGTCCTGGAATTTGCTCTATAGACCAGGCTTATAAATGGACATATCTGTCCCTCCCACCAATTTCCAAATAACCACTCAGAGGCTTATATTAATTACAAATGCTTGGCTGGTAGCTCAAGCTTACAGTTAAATTAACCCATAATTCTTATCTATGTTTAGTCACATGGTATTGTATCTTTTTTCAGTGTGACATTATCATCTTCCTCTGTGTCTGGCTGGTGACTCTTCACTCTAACCTTCTCCTTTCCAGCATTCTCAGTTTGGCCACCCCACCTATACTTCCTGCCTGGCTACTAGCCAATCAGCATTTTATTAAACCAATTTGAGTGACAAATCTTTACAGTGTACAAGAGGATTATTCCACAGCATTTCCCCCTTTTGTCTAATTAAAAAGGAAGGTTTTAACTTTAACATAGTAAGATTGTATACAACAAAAACAGTTATTAAGAATTACAGTAACACTATCTAATCCATTTACATTTGACAAAATTAGAGAAAATAATTATCTTAGTGAGTCTAAAGTTTTCTATCTAATTTACTTTCTATTATATCTAAGGAAAACTTTGTTTAGTTTTTTTCTTGACCATTATCCATAACAACTCATAACCAACCCCCCTAAACAATGACAAATATCCATAATTTATTTTGGGGGAATGTGGGCATAGTTCTCTAGACTTCTTCCTATTGATTGGGGAGGATGGTAATCTTTTTGGCACCCTGAGAAAATTTAGCATAATTGTTAAGTCTTGGTTGTAGTATTTTGTGGAGCTGGATCATCTTATTCAGTGGCCATGAAGCTGTTTTGGATGCTGGATCATCTGGGCCATCATTTTCATTGGTGTCTGGTCCCCTTGCTCTGAAAATATATAAACTTTTAAAGGTAACATATATCTGTGTATTAATACAAATACAAACTGTGCATTGTACATAAGTCAGTCAAAGACAAATTTTTATTTTATGTCTGAGCAAGTAAAATGTATGTTACATGTCTTATAGTTACTTTAGGTTTATTTTCCCATGTCTGTAGTTAGGATTTCGGGGGGGGGGGGGGTCTTCCTTGATCAAACCTGATTTTCCTTAACCCAGAATGAACCCATAGCCTCTCATTTTCTGTGGAAACAAAAACATAACCTCTTTCCCAAAGCAACATATCCCTTGACTTAAAGTTTAAAGTCAAGACATTTTTAAAATATATAGGTTGGTTTAATCCAGCAGTTTTTATAATCAAATGTCTCTCAGCAGTTGTCATTTGTTTATTAGCTGCTAAAAATTTTAAAGACAGCACAATAACATACAGTATCCAGATACTCTGTATATTTTCCACCCTTATGTGGCTTTTTAAAAATATTTATTCCCTTTTAAAGGACCTTACTTTATTATTTTAAAATTTTACATATTTTATTTTTTATGACTGTCTATACTTTCTTTTCTCTCCCAAGCCTATGTATTCTTTTTCATTGCTGTGAATCATTTAGAGGGTTTTTTTTTTCTTTTTTCTGAATCTGTCTTATCTGCATATCTCTTTTTCTGACCACATGAGTCTTTAAAGTACTAAGCAGGTGTGGTTAGGACTAAAGCGGTGGTTTTGGCAGCTGGCTCCACCACATTCCTTGGTTCGGAGTGCCTAGCTTCATTTAGGAGGTACCAGTGGTAGCCACATTTAATGCACCAACTCTGGGGAGTTTTTGGGTCCATGCTGCCACCAAGTAGTGCACTACCCGCTGCTCATAAACCCCATTTAAGTGTTTGGTAGCAGGACCTCTTAAAAGAGCTGCATAGTTTTTGCCAATAACACTGAGCCAGGAAGTTGTCTCTTAAAGGAGCCACACTTCTGCCTGCTGCTAGCAAATAAAGCCTACCCAAGAAAAAGTAGTTACTAAGAAGTTGAGTTTGACTCCATTTTTGTGTTTAGAATCCTTTTTAAAGCTTTGTCAGGTTTTATGTGGAAATTTCAGCCACACATTGGAATGCCATATGTAAACAGATGTTTCTGTCCTGCCCACCAATTCCTAGTAACCACTCAGAGGTTTATATTAATTATAAATGTTCAGCTGGTAGCTCAGGGTTATTACTAACTAGGTCTTATACTTAAATTAACTCATAATTCTTATCTATGTTTAGCCATGTAGTTTGGTACCTTTTCTCAGTACTACATTCTCATCTTGCTTCCTCTGTAACTCCTCACTCTGACCTTCTCCTTCCCAGCATTCTTAGTTTGGCTGCCCTACCTACACTTCCCGACTAGCCACTGGCCAATCAGTGTTTTACTAAACCAGTTGGAGTAACAAATCTTTACAGTGTACAAGAGGATTATTCCACAGCACAGTTTGGCCTTGAACTCACAGGCCTTGAACTTGAATTCCCTTGCCTCTGCCTCTTAAGGGCTGAGATTAAAGGCATGTGCCACCATTGCCATGCAGAAGAGAAGCTTCCCTGACCCAGAATCAAACCCAGGCCTTGGTAGTGAGAGTGCTGAATCCTAACCACTAGACCACCAAGGCGTGTCAAGTATCTTGTGGACTGAGTTTTATGTTGACAATGAAGTGATAGGCAGTTGTTTTCCTCTTTATAGATAAATGTTCCTTGCATGATTTATTGAATGTTCTTATTTTCCCCATCAACTTTCAATGCCATTTTGTCACAACAAGTGTCTCAGTACCTGACAGTCTGTTTCCAGGCTCTCTATTCTCTTCTGTGGTTGTTTGTATCATAATTACAGTGTGAAAGTAGCTTCATTTTTTAGTTCTGTTTCCTTTCTCCTGTTCCAAAACCTTCAAAGACTTGGGATATATTGTTGTAGTATAGAAAATAACTTTGAAGTGGGTGTTTTCCCAGCCCGTTCCCTTTTTGTACTCATGGTGTAGCTCCTTTTAAACAGTTTCACACACAGGTCATACTAAGCCCCATTCTGTGCCTGGTATTGTGCATTGCTTGTAGCAGATCCCGTTGGACTTTGTCAGGGTTCCAGCTTCTGTGAGCTGAGCAGAGACAATGAGCATGCAGCAGTCAGAAAAGAAGTGATCTCTAGAGCCTTTTTCCAGGCTCCAAGATAAGAGATGATGAAAAAAGAGAGGAGTGGGAGATTCCCAGAAAGTCCCAATGGCCTCGTAAGAGCCTTCTCAGTTGGTGGCTTCCATGCTTAATCCTTCCTTTCCTGATGCACCCTGTGACCAGAATCTGAAGGAAAAGTGGTCTTAGTAGCAGAGGCCTGCAATCCCAGCCTCTAGAGAGATCAAAGCAGAGGAATAGCAAGTTCAAGACCTACCTGGGCCAAATAGTTTAAGGTTTGAGATATAGTTAAATGACAGTGTGCTTGCCTTGCATGTACAAGCCCTGAGTTCAGTCCCCAGGACTGCATACTCTGAAGGGAATCATAATATAATGTCTATGAAAATGTGAAGTTTCTCAGACATGTGTCTTTTAGTCTTCCCAGTGCAGTTACTGAAATATTTAGACATGTCAACACTATAGACATCTGGATGGTTGGTAGAAGAGGATCTTCTTTTTTCTTTTTCTTTTTTTTTTTTTTTTTTTTTTTTAAGTTTTGCTCATCTCAATGAAGGGCCCCGCATTAACTTAGGGAAGAGATATTTTCAAGTAGTAGTATGGTGAAACACTATGTACTCTGGAGTTACACACCTACATTCAGCAGTGCTAACTCATGACAAGTTGTCTAGCTCTCCGATCACTCCTTTTACTTCTTTAGAAAACTTAGAATGGCCAGAGGATGAGCAGGTAGTCAGTATGAAAACTGCTGAATTTACATAGAATTATCTATGTAAACTGATCAGCAAAAAACCTAATAGATAGGTGCTTAAAATGTTTCGAATCGTTCTATAATACTTACTTTTCCATGCATGCTTTTTTTTTTTTTACATACAAACATGTAAACATCACAAACTGGGATCCACATGAGAGAAAACGTAAGGTTTTGTCACCTCATTCAATATTACACTTTCCAGATCCACCATTTCCCCACAATTTTCACTTTTATTTACAGGTAAAATCCCACTGTATCTAGGTACCACACTTTAGAAAAGAATTATTTTTAATTGTGTGGATGTGTCTGTGTGGGGGTACGTGCATGTGCAGGCGCCCTCGGAGATCAGTGATGTTGGATCCCCGGGAGCTAGAGTTCCAAGTAGTTTTGAGCTGGGGACTGCACTTGGGTTCTGTGTAATGTGAGCACGTGCTCTTAACTACTTAGCTGTCCCTCCAGTCCCTGTGCCACATTTTCCTTATCCATTCATCTGTTGCTAGATGGCTAGGCTGGTTCCAATTCCTTGTTATTGTGGAAACTGCAGCAAAGAAACTAGATGTGCAAGTATCACTGTAGTAGACAAAGTCCTTTGGGTGTGTGTCCTAGACCTGGGCTATGTGATAATATTATTGTGAATTTTTTAGAAACCTCTGTACTTCTGTAATAGCTATGCACATCTGCCCTCCCATAAGCATTGATTTTTGGCGATGTTCACCTTTCCTACCAGAGTGAGGAGTATCCTTAGCCATTGGTAAATTGCAAGTTTATTTAGTAGGATGTACACTTTAGAGAAAAAAAAATCTGAGGCTCAGAAAGGAGATAGGTATGATTACAAGGTGACTAATTTGGTTTCTGGTTTCAAATTTGGGCCACTAAGATGAGAGGTCAGCAGTTTCAGGCGTGTGGGCCAGTGCGGCCTGCTATTGGTGTTTGTAAATGAAGTCACAACAGTGGAGCTAATAGTTGCTATAGAGAATGTAGCCTGTAAAGCCAAGATATTCACTGTACAGCCTTGCTGTGAATATGGAGGCAAATTTTACAGGTGATGTTTTCAACTATTTTGGTTATTGACCTGGAAAGCATTGGTGATCCTGTAAATGTTTACTAGTTCAATCTTAATTTACTTGATCAAAACATTTTTCTCCTCAGAGATGAAGACAAATTAAAAACTTGGAAGCTTAAGTTTCTGACATCAAAGTGGAAAAAGGGGGGAAAAGACAGTGAAGGATCCAAAAGGTAAGACGGCAAGGAAGCTCGCAACTTCACGGTGGCAGTTTCCACTTCTGACCCGCTGTCTGACCTTGGGCAAGACCTTACATCTGATTTTCAGGTTCCTTGTCTACAAGTGAGAGCTAGCAACACTTGCCTCATAGTACAACTGGGAGGATTAAAAGAGACAAAGGTGCCGGGCGGTGGTGGCGCACGCCTTTAATCCCAGCACTCGGGAGGCAGAGCCAGGCGGATCTCTGTGAGTTCGAGGCCAGCCTGGGCTACCAAGTGAGTTCCAGGAGAGGCGCAAAGCTACACAGAGAAACCCTGTCTCGAAAAACCAAAAAAAAAAAAAAAAAAAAAAAAAAAAAAAAAAAAAAAAGAGACAAAGGTATAAACACACAGTTCCTTACATTCATTCCCAACCTCCTCCCTCCTCTCCACTGATGAGAAATAAGAAAGCCTGGGAGGTAGGCCTTCCCGAGTTCTCATCTTATAGGCCATAGCAGCATTCCTCCAGAAGGATAGAGCTTAGATAGAATCCCAATTAGGACTGACAGCCATTGCTCAAATGTCAGTTTAGTTATGACGACAGTCAGTGTTAGAATGTAATGGTAATTTTCTCAGCTCGGGAGGTGACCTCCATTTATGTGATTATGCCTGGACTGGCTGCTTAGAGAGTGTGTGTGCTCTGCTTCGTCAGTGCTTCCTTAGCTATGTTCTCCTCTTCCCGGGTGCTATGAATGAGGTAGGATGGGGGACAAAACTTCTTGGGGAAATACTTAGTAAATAGTGAGTGGTTTGCCTATATCAGGAAACCAATGGTTTTCCCAGGGTATCTCCAAGTCGGACATTTGTCCACAGAAAATTGAAACAACTCAGAATGGCAAAGGCACCGCCTCCTTCAATTTTTTCTGAATTTGGAAAGAGGTATTCAGACTAGAAGGTTCATTAAACATCATACTTGTTTGCATAGCCCTGCAAAAGAGAAATCCAAGGTCAGGAAGGTTTCTGACCTTTTGTCCAACAGTTTTATGTGGTATCAATATAAATCCATCTTTTTTGAGAAACAATTTCCAGTAGTTTTTTTCATAAACTGACTTAGTAAACTTATTCTCAATTTCAAAATGTAATAAGGCATCATTATTTATGAAGAACAGTGGATCAATTTCTTGGATCCTTTTACATTGGTTTCTGGGACAGCTTATTCTACCAGTAAGTAAAACTGTTTTCTGTATTAGTTAACTGACAGCTTATTTTACCAAAGGTTGGGTAAGTATTCAAATATAAAGGCATGCATGACCCGAATGGTCAAACACCTGTGCATGATGCCAGGAACTAGCATTTTGCTGTAGGTTAGTTCCGACACACTGAAGGATGTTTAAGCACTGCACTCTTATTTCAGAAAGACATTCCTGTGACAGGGACACAGATAATTTTTTTTATAAGAACAGGCAAAGAAATGGTATTGTTGCCAGTGGTCAGGGTCTGAGATGGACATTTCCAGATTTTTGGCTTTTTATTGAAGAAAGAAAAACCAACACACACTGCAAAGTATTGGGGAAACTTTATTCAAAGAGCTAGAACAGGTCAGAACATATTCTAAGAGAGCAGCAGATCTCAGGGGCCCAAGGTTATTGTTCGAGGATTCTTCTTATGGGATCCAGGAGAGCAGGGGCCAGTTACTCACAGGCATAGTTAGAGTGGTTCTCTTAGATTGTGTTATATAATCATGTGTCTCCTGTAAATGTCCAATCCCATAATGCACCTGATTTTAATCATGTATGTGCCCAGTTATGGGTAAGTATAAAATGATAATTAGGGTATTCTCCCCTGAAAGTTCACTTGGGAACATGGTTTTATCACACATGTACCCTAAGCCCATTCACACCTTTCCATTTCTGTAGCAAGCCATAAGCAGAGTAGAACTGAATACAATCTAAGTTGGATGATCGTTTACAGTGGAAGGTATATACAGTATGATGGAGATTTAGTCAGAGATGGGTGTAGCTAGAGTTAAATCTGTCACCCGCCAGTCCCACAGCCACTCAGACCCAACCAAGTAAACACAGAGACTTATATTGCTTACAAACTGTATGGCCATGGCAGGCTTCTTGCTAACTGTTTTTATATCTTAAATTAATCCATTTCTATAAATCTATACCTAGCCACGTGGCTTACCGGCATCTTCACATGCTGCTTGTCATGGCGGTGGCTGGCAGTGTCTCCTTCCACCTTCCTGTTCTTTTTTTTCTCCTCTCTGTTAGTCCCACCTATACTTCCTGCCTGGCCAGTGGCCAATCAGAGCAATTTAACATACAGACCACCCCACAGCAGATGTGTGTGTGGGTAAGCATCTCAAGTTGTCACGTGCATTTGTAGCCCTTACCAAGTAGGTATCAGGCTACTAAACTATGCAAGAATGGGGCTGTGAGTAGAAGCATGGGAAAGATACCCCAATATAGAAGATGCTCCTCACTGACACTGCTAAAAAGGGGGAACCAAACTCCATTTATAAAGCAGAAGGCAGGACAAGGGAAGGGTCTCAGGCAGCTTTGGGGATGGATTAGTCCATTTGATGTGTTTCATATTTCACCCATGTTTGCTGCATCTTGCTGTCCATGTATTTCTTACTTTTCCTGTTGCTGTGATAAAATATCCCCCTAAGGCAACTTAAGACAAAGAATTTATTTTGGCTCATAGTTCAAGGGTACAATCCATCACCCTAGATCTTGTTTCTATATATTGAAAACATACAAAAATCTACAGTTAAATGTCAAAACTAGTTACCTTAATGTGAAGTTTTATGAGAAATGCTCCCCATAGTCTCAGGCATTTGAATACCTGGTTCCAGTTGGTGGCACTGTTTGGGTACATTTAAGAATATGGTTTTGCTGAAGGAAGTATGTCACTTGGGAGTGGGCTTTGAGAGTTTAAAGACATGTCATTTCTAGTTTGTTCTCTGCTTGCTGCTCCAGCCACTGTGTCTGTCAGTTCCCTGCCATGATGGACTCCAATCCCCCAGGAATCGTAAGCCCATATAAACACTTCCTCCTATAATATGCCTTTGTCATGGTGTTTTCTCATTGCAATAGAAAAAATAATATGCCTACTATTCTATAAAACATGTTTCTCTTATCTCACTGCTCCTCCTGCACTCAACATTCTCTATATCAAGTTGATTTTATTTCATACTTCCTTGATATCAAAAATATTTTTAGATATATAGCTCAGTATCAGAAATATTTTTAGATATATAGCTCAGTGGTAGAATACTCCTGTAGTATATATGAGGCTCTGGATTTGATCTTCAGCCAGCACTGGAAAAAAACCCACAAATACATATGTATAAAACAGAAAAATAATTGGTATTACCTTCTTCAGTAGTTATGAAAATCTGCTCTAGTAGAGGGATGTGTATAGATATAGTATATATTTCATTTATGTAAAATTATACCTTAGTTTATCCTGAGATGGTGACTTCAGAGGCTCACAAATTTAGGACTTTTGTTATGCTACACTTAACCTTGCCCATGTTATTTCTTGCCAGTTTTTCTCCCAGAAATTTCTTCAGAGCTAAGAAGCACCATTTAGAAAAGAATAGAATGGAAAAAGAAGAAAAACTTTTCAGAGAAAGATTTCAGGTATGTTCTCTTCTGAAAGTGATAATTAACACAACACTAACAGTACTGACAACTAGAAACGTTTACTCTTAAAGGCTCCGTTAGAGTAGTATCATCAGCTACTCTGAGATAGAGAAATGATCTGATACATTCCTATATTGGCATGCCTTTGTACACGCTATTCTGTAGCTAGAGTTTTCCTGCCTGGCCCACAGTCAGGACAAATCTCTCTTACCCACCAGTCCCACAGCCACTCAGACCCAACCAAGCAAACACAGAGACTTATATTGGTTACAAACTGTATGGCCGTGGCAGGCTTCTTGCTAACTGTTCTTACAGCTTAAATTAATCCATTTCTATTAATCTATACCTTGCCACATGGCTCGTGGCTTACCGGCATCTTCACATGCTGTTTCTCATCCTGGCGGCTGGCAGTGTCTCTCTGACTCAGCCTTTCACTTCCCAGCTTTATTCTCCTCCTTGTCCCGCCTACACTTCCTGCCTAGCCAATGGCCAATCAGTGTTTTATTTACCAACCAATCAGAGCAACACATTTGCCATACAGAACATCCCACAGCACTATTCCATCTGGTAAAGCTTCTAAAATGTTGTTGAAGGCTCTCTTCAAATCTCACTCCCTCAGCACATTTGTACAATACTGATTAGAAGGAGACCCTTTCATATGTCAGTTCCCAGTGTAAAACAACGTGTTGTATTTGAGTGAACAAGTGGAGCAACATCTCACACTCACATCCTTCATTAAGAAGCTACGGAGTGTTCTCCACTGCTCCTTCCCGATTTTATCTTCTGCCAAAGTGAGGACCTCTGAATTCAGGAAACACTTTCAACAGCATCCAAGTGGTAGACTAAGAGTCAAATTCCGTAAGTCAGAGCTCTACCAGCAAGAAGTGTTGGTTTCCTCAAGTCATGGCTGCAGCTAATCCTTGTTTCCTCTCCTCAGATTCTGTCTCTGCCCTTTCTCCTTTGGCAACTAACTGCTCATAATTCTGTTTCTTTTTTTTTTTTTTTTCTTTTGGTTTTTCGAGACAGGGTTTCTCTGTGTAGCTTTGCGCCTTTCCTGGTACTCACTTTGGAGACCAGGCTGGCCTCGAACTCACAGAGATCCGCCTGCCTCTGCCTCCCGAGTGCTGGGATTAAAGGCGTGCGCCACCACCGCCCGGCCATAATTCTGTTTCTAAAAGAGCTTCCACCTCTACCTCACTTCCATCTCCTTCCTCCGGCACCGACTTGGTCTGCTCCACATCTGACATCCCCCTGCTGCTTTCTCCATCTGGTGTGTTCACTTATCAAGACCCAGTTGAGACATCTTCTCATTCCAGAAAGACCTGCTCAAACTTCTAATTAAAGAAATTGCTCTTCTGCTTACCTAAATACAACTTCTGGTACAGTTCATCATACTAAACTGTGAACTTCTAGGCAGCATAGATTATTTTTATCTTCACATCCATGTGCTCAGCAGAGAAACACTACCTCACACTTCAAAAACATCCCAAACTATTTTGAAAGTGAACTAAAAATAAGACTATACATAAATTCCTTAACTGCTGATATCATCTATTTGGCCAAAGCTCAGTAAGTTGTTACCTAAAATCCCCACATACTAGGATGTTATTTGATTAGATCAAAACAATAGCATAGTAATCTCTGGTTGAAAAGACCCCTATCATCCACCAAGGCTTTCTCCTTTGCCCTTGAAAGTCCCAAATGGGACAGAAATCCCATCTCCTCTGTATGTATATGAGTCTATCCCTAATTACCTGAGATGGGCTTCCAGTTACCTTTAGGAAAAAAAAATATGCCATTTCAATCCAGCTCAAAAAAGTACTGTGTACCTCACTGTTGACAGGAATTGAGGGAACAAAGGTGAGGAACACTCACCTCTAGTTTCTTTTTTAAAGGCAGTGTGTTCGCTAAATTCTACAATAGGAATATATGTAGTACAGGACAGCAGTAAGTTGTTCATGGCGGTTACAACGCTATCAGAAGTTGTTGGCAGCTGAGTATTTCAAATAGGAAGAGCACGCTCACACGAGTAAAGGCCTGGAAAGATGGGAAACAAAGCACTTCTTGGCCCAAGGACAGAGATAAAGGGACAAGGAATGACAGTATGCCAAGGACCCTGAATATCAAGCCAAAGAATGTGGCTCTCATCCAAAAGGCAATGAGACTTCAGCACTGTGTAACTAGGAAGATGGCCTACTAAGATTTGTTTTTAAGAAACTACTGAGGATTCACAGTAACCAAATGGCCTGGAGAGAGGGAAAGATGTCAGGTTTGTGAAGGTCAGGTGAGGAGCCATTACAGGTCATCCTAACCTGCTGAAGTAAACACCAGGGACCAAACTACATCTCCTAGTTTTCGTTTCCATGGTCAGTGCATGAGAAGGGAAAGTACCTGTAGGCTGGCTCATCAGGAAGAAATCCTGTGGGTTCAGGAACTGAATTTCCCGCCAGAGACTGCTCTCTCACAAATGCCTGTCTTTCACCATATATAGACAGTGGGCATTTCCCATATATACCCAACTGCCGCCGTTTTAAAGTACATGTGCTCAGAAAAGGTGAGGACGGAACATCATCTTAAAACAGAATATTAACTCTACAGCTGTGTTCAAATGTTTCCTCTCCTGAGTTAGGAGGTAGCTTTGTTACTGTTTAAACATATCAGGTGTGGTATATCCACACCCACCAGGACTTGTTCTGATATGTATGAGTGGATGTGAAAACAGTTTTAAAATAGAATCACATTAGACAATTGTTTTGTTTTGGATTTTACTATTATTTTAAGGGCCTTTCACTATAATACCCCATTGTTTACTTTGTCAGTCTCTCGCATCCTGTATGTTGAGGTTACTATATTGTATCTTTCATTAATTCTGTTACAATAACTACGCAAGCATGCCCTTACTATAGTAATTTCTCATTTTAGTATGGTAAAGAGATTGTAGTCATTAACAGAGCAGTAGCATGCTCTAGCAATTCACGAAATGGAGTATTTGACCTGCCAATAACTCCTGGAGAACAGCTGGAAGTTATTGACACCACTGAAGAAAACCTAGTGATATGTCGCAATTCCAAAGGCAAATGTGAGTTTGTGGTGAAATTTTCCTTCAATATTAAAAAATTTTCTCTAGAAATCTGAGGTTAGTAATGTGAGTTTTGTTTCTACAGATGGATATGTGCTCATTGAACATCTAAATTTCAAGTAAGTTGTTTAATTTCATATCCAGCTATGAGTTCTGGGTACTTAATGTAGTATATTATGTAAACTCGTCTTATGGGACTACCTAGTGTATTTGGAAATTAGCTATGCAGTCCGGTGCAGTGGTGCATGTCTTTAATCCCAGCACTCAGGAAGCAGGAGAGTCTCTGTGAGTTCTAGGACAGCCAGGACTACACAGAGAAACCCTGTCCCCAAAACACTAAAAACTAGCTATGCAGTGCACTGCCTGGAACTGCATCCGAGGAGGCCTTCCACTGGACTCCTGAGGACACTCAAACTAATATGCAGAGCCCATTTGCAAAGTTTTAAAATCATCTGAAATCTCCTAACTGTTCCACTTACCATGTATTTCACATGCTTGCATGTTCTCTTTTCTGTCCCAGGCATCAGGGCTGATTCCATTAGGAAGGTCTGCATAAGTCAGGATGTGCCCAAGCTGTGAGCCCAGCCCCACAGCCCTTCCAGTTCCTGTGTCAAATGAGATGGGCTGTGGAGACTTCTGTCAGAAACTCAGAAGAAAACCCTCAACATGTCAATGTTGGTTGGACTTCAAAAAAGTTTGTCTTTCAATGTCTGTTTTACTGCTGGTTCAAGAGATTGTGAAACAGAACGTTAGCATGCGAGCCCTTGCCTAATGAGCCACATCCCAAGTTAGACATCTTGCCTTATGGCACCAGTGAGCTGTGCAGATGGTTAGTGAACATCTAATGTTAGTACACGTCAAATGTAATTTCTTGGTGCACATCTACATTTCATATGAATTCTAAGTGGTAAAGAATGTAACCATGTTACTTTAAACAAAACAACACCTGAGCCATAGTTATTTGTTGTTTTTTTAACCAAAGTAAAAGAATAGAAGGGAACAGTGTGCTGGGGAGGGAGGGGGGAAATTCTTTTCTAAATTCAACCACAAGTATTTTTTAGAAATGTTTAACAAAAATGTGAGGATATGTACATGTTGTATCATGTGAAAACTTTGCCTAAAATAGGGGAAATTAATAGTTTGTCTATGCCCAAACATATCCAAGTGTGTTTCATTTACATGATAGTACACAGAAATTGCACAGTGTAAATAACATTCTGGTCCTACCTGATGTGCACTGTGTGTTAATAAATTCTACATATGCTTTCAACTGTTATACTTCGAGTTCAGTTCTCAGCACCTACATGCAGCAGCTCACAATACCTGTTACTCTAGGAGATGAAACATCCTCCTCTGGCCTCCAGGGCACCTGCACTCATATGGCTTTTGTTCCCACAAAAGCATATGAAGAATCCTCCTCAACTCTTTAAGCAGCAGGCACGATGGAAGCTTTTTCTTGACAGAGTCATCTTATCTACTTCAAAGCTACTTTTCAAGTTTTTATGTTCTTCGTCTTCCTCTACATGCTCCAGATGGCACTCACCAATAAAGGCCATGTTCATTCTAACCCACATGAATCAAAGGTATTCAGAGTTCAAAGCTTAGAGAATAAAACAGGACCCAGACGTGCTGCTCCTGGGCATATACCCAAAGGCCACGATATACGTGCACATCCATGTGTATTGTTGCTACATAATCCACAATAGGAAGGTAAAGGAACCAGCTTAGATGCCCATCAACTGATGAATAATGAAAGTATACATACACACAATGGAATTTTAGTCATCTATAAATAAAAATTAAATTACAGGAAAATAAATGGGTCTAGAAGTATATTAAGAGAAGTGACCCAAACTCAGAAAAGACAAAACTTCATGTTCTCTCTCATATGCAGATCCTAGCTTGTAATGTACATGAGTGAAGCCAAAAAAAAAAAAAAAAAAAAAAACCTAAAACAAAGCAGACAAACATAAAAACAGGAAGAAACCAAGATAGGGTAAAAAGAAATGCTGAGGATGGACAAGAGGACATATGTGCAGGAAGACTGATAGCTGGTGGGTCGGAGAGGACAGGGAGGTAGGGGTGTTAGTGGAGTTTTCCTGTCCTGACTACCTGCTCACAAATAACCAGCAGCTGCTTCCCAAAATAACTGACTCGGAGATTTAATATAAATTATAACTACTTGGCCAATAGCTCAGGCTTGTTACTAGCTAACTCTTACACTTAAATTAACCCATATTTCTTATCTATGCTTTGTCACTTGGCTCATGGCTTGTTACCTCGTTTTCTACATGTCCTGCTTCTTGGGTGGCTGGCTGGTATCTCTTCTGACTATACCTTTCTTCCTCCAGCATTCTCAGTTTGGCTGTCCTGCCTATACTTTTTGCCTGGCTACCGGCCAATCAGCGTTTTATTAAACCAATTCAAGTGACAAATCTTTACAGTGTACTAAGGGAGTATATTTCACAGCATAGGGGAGATGAGCATAACAGGAAGAGAATCAACTAAAATTTTGTTTGAAAATGTTGCAATGATAACTAATATTTGTATGCTAATTAAAATAAAGTAAAAGAAATCATTACAACAAATACCAAAGAAATTCAGATCATTAGAACACTTTGACAACTTACATACCTAACTTTGGAAAAATCTAAAGAAAACTGATACATTCCTATACAGCCTGCCAAGAGGAATAAAAACAACTTAAACAGATACATGACAAATAATGAGGCTAAAGTGATAAGAGTCTCTAGAATCCAAAACATACAGGCCCAAAAGGATTCCTTCCTGAATTCTACTAGGTTTTTAAGAATACCTGTGCTCTTCAAACCATTCCAGAAAGTAGAAAGAGAAGAATGCTACCAAACTCATTTTATGAAGCCAATATTACCCTGACACCAAAACCAGATAAAGACACAACAAAATTACAGGCCAATCTCCTTACTGAACATAAATGCAATTTTTTTCAATAAAATATTGGCAAACCAAATTCAATACATATAAAAAAGATAATTCACTATGATGAAATTGATTTAATTGCATAGTTAATAAAGTATGCAAATCAGTAAGTGTAATACATCATCACATAAGAGTCAAGGACTGAAACCATATGACCATATCAATGAATGCAGGATTTGACAAAGCTCAACATCCCCTACATGCAATGCTCTGAAGAAACTAAGTGGAACATATCCCAACATAATAAAGGACATATACATCAAACCTATAGCCAATATTATACCAGATGAGAACAACAGAGCATTTCCTCTAATCAGGAACACAACAAGGGGACCACTTTCACCTTTCCTTCCTGTTTTCATCCCTCCCTCCCATCCCTGAGAGTCCATGTGCATGTATATACAGTATGTATTTCTGTCTATGTCTGTGAACATTCTTTGGGTCCTATGTTGGGCTATCTTAGTTTCTTTCCATTTTCTGTAATCAAATGCCTCATAAGAAGCAACAGAAGGAAGGAAGGATTTGTTTTGGTTCATATTTGAAGGATAAAGTTTGTGCTCAAAACAATAGAGTGCTCAAAATCTTAGCCAGAGCAATAAGGCAAGAGAAAGAAATTAAAGTCATACAAATAGGGAAGGAAGAGTTAAAGTATCCCAGTTTGTAGATGACATGACCTTATGCTTAGAAGACCATAAACAGTGAGGTGGATCACAGGGCAAGGACACTTACTGAAAACCCTGAGTTCAATCTCCAGAACCCACATCAGCAAGTTATCTTCTGACCTCCATGAACATGATCATACCATGGCAAGCATGTAGCCCCCACACATAGTAAATAAACAGTAAGTGTAAAATATGAAAGTAAATAAACAGTCCAAAACCTTTTAGAACTGATAAACATGCTTGGCAGAACTATTAGACTATAAAATCAACATATAAACATCAGTAAACCGCCTCTATATCAATGACAAACGTGCTGAGAAAGAAATCTAGGAAATAATTTTATTTACTAGAACTGTTAAAAAAAAAAAGCAAAATATGGGCTGGAGAGATAAATCAGCAGTTAATATCCCACAGAGGTACTTGCCATCCATTTTTAGGCAGCACTATTCACAACAGCCAAATTATGGAATCAGTTTGACAACATTTGAATGTAAAGAAAATACAGTTTTATTCAGCCATAAAGAACTAAATTATGGGGACTGGAAAGATGGCTCCATGGTTAAGAGTATTTGCTGCACTTCCATAGGACCCAAGTTCTGTTCCCAGCACCCTTGTTAGGTGACTCACAACCATTTGTAACTGCAGTTCAGGGGATCTGAGGCCCTCTTCTAGCCTCAACAGGCCCCTGGATACACACAGCATAAACACATACATGTAAACCTAAGAACAAAATTGTCACTTTCAGGAAAACGACTATAACTAGGCATCACATTAAGCAAAATAAGTCAGACTCAGACAACTGTCACATTTCCTCATGTAGACTCTAGATTTGATAAAGACACATAAAATTATATGTGTGTGTATATTAATGCCTATGCCTGGAAGTAGAAGCAAGACTGTTGAAGGACTAATGAGGAAGGGAAGGGTAAGAGTAAAAATGGTCAAAGCAGATGCTATGCTTATGGGAAAAAAAAATCTACAAAATCCACCACTATGTACAATGAATATATGTCAGCGAAGTATTTGTATTTGAATTTGAAAAGTAAAAAAAGGGGGGCTGAGAGCATCACGTTGATGGTAGACTGCTTGCCTTGCATGCATGAGACTCTGGGTTTAATACCCACCATGGCCTAAAATGGGAAGAACAGTGCATGCCTCTAATCCCAACACTTGGGAGGTAGACACAGGAGGATCAGAAGTTCAAGGTCACCCTCAGCTTCACAGTGAGTGAGGTAAACCTGGGTTACATGAGACCCTGTCTCAAAAAAAAAAAAAAAAATAGAAGGGGAATGAAAAAGAGCAGGAAGGGGGGAAGGGGAGGGGACAAAGAGGAGGAAGAAATACTATGAGTAGTACTACTAGTAATAATAATAATAATAAATAATAAATTTGTAGCAGTAGTAGAAGACTTGTGTTTAGTCACCTGAGAAGAACCAAGTATACCCATGGCACTTCCAAAGAGTAAAATAATAAATCCATGCTAAGTCCTTAAAATTGTGCCAATTTGTTATAAAAATAGAATACTTAGATATGGCTCAGGTTAAAAATACAGTGTACAGTATCAAAGACAAAACTATACAACAATGGTGTGAAATCTCATTGAGTCATAAGCAATTTCTTTCTAAGACGCTTTCTCAGGAATTATTAAATGAAACACATAATATTAGCGTAATGATTGAACAAAAACAAAAAATAACTTTCAAATTAACCAGATTTTAATTTGATTCTGTGGAAAATGCAGACACACAATCAGACAGGCCACTTTTCTCTTGTGTTTGTTGCCAATGAGTTCCATACAGTTCAAACATTAATTAGACAGAACCTGCAAATATGAAATGCTCTGCAATTCACTAACCTTTTCTATATGGTTACTAAAGATAAATCCTTCCCACCGATCATTTAACTCACAAAAATGCATAACAAATAAAATTGAAATTAGAATCTAGTTATTTAAACAAAATCACTTCGAGTCTGTTGTCTTCTGTTCTGAAACCAACTGTAAAAAGTAGTCCCATTTCAATGATTTAGCAATGTTTTTAAATAAAGACATACTCTAGCACTGCGCCAATGAGTTAATACATGAATACATTGTGGGACTATTTTACAGGCTAAAAATGAATGCATGGTGTTCCTGAAAAACAAATCAAATAATTACTATCCAGTAATGCATTATGTTATAATCATACAGGTAACCTAGTATCTGCCAAATTTCAATTTTATTGTTCACACTCAAAAATCACTGTATAATAGTTAAATGTGATAAAAACAGAACCATTACTCACAAAATAATTTAAAAATACTATCCTTCAAGGTCATAGTTCATAACAACTTCGCAATCAACACTCAAAACAGTACAACCATGGGTATTTGTGAACAGTCTGGACAGAAAGCTGTATTTTGGTACATTAAGGCAGCTTTAGCCAACATTCTGAATAACAATATTTATTGAAACAAAAGACAGGTTTGATATTTAAATATTTGAGGTTTCCAAGAAATGTTAAGTGTCTTACAATAAGAACACTGAAGTTTGTGAAACTGTCTTAAACATTCTCAGCACTATGCTCTTATTACATATGACATCTAAAAATAAGATACTCATCCCATCAGTATCAAAGGGGTCTAGTAGAAAAGGAAGGCTTGACATTGAATATGGGGCTCTAAAGCCCTCCTCCTTACGGGCTTCCAAACGGCTTCTCACACACATCTGTGAGGTAGGTTATTATCCACATTTTGTACCAGAGAAACTACAGAAGGTTCCAAACTTGTGCTGCTATAGTAGCAAACAGGGAAGTCCATTTCAATTAGATTCGGTCTTTAGTGCTGCATTTCTTTCATTTATAAACTTTAAAATATAAAGATTGCTAGTAATTGCATTCATTTTAAAAGCAGAAGGCAGCCAAATATTTGCCCAGGTGGCTTTAAAAAGTGAAATAAGTGAAACAGAAACTCTACTCAGTGAACAACTTCCGGCGGTGACGGTGTGAGGTTTGGTCAGGTGGAACTGAAAAGGCAGAAGCCAACCACGAGACGGCTTGTGGGGCAGGTCACAAGGAAACAGAACTCACAAGGAAATGGAGTCTAAACGTGTGTTTGCTTTTCCTCTGCAATTGTTTGAGAAGGCACCAGGTACTGTTTCTTTCTTTGTGTAGACAGTGGGTCTATGTCTCTTCCATTCTAGGAAAACGTTCTCCATTTAGAAAAATGGGCTTCATTTGGTAACAAAACTTATTTACAGGAGACTTTTAGCATTCAGATTAGCGGGAGAAAAATAATGCAATTCTTTCCTAGGAGGCTTCTGTTTCTCTTTAAAATTTTAAATTAACACAAAGTAGCAAATCTTGAATTAAAAAAAATATTGCATAAACCTTATTTTAAAAAGTCTATGTTGAAATTTTTCTTCATTCTAGGACATTCTACAAATCCTTAACTTTTTTTTTAAACTGGAGAGAATATTATACCCTAGAATTTCCTTAATTGCACTTTAAATATAATTGAATTTACCCACCCTGCTTTTCCAAATAATCATGAATTATCTCTAAAATTTGAACTGCTTTTCAACATAAACTAAAGTTACCAAAAGTCACATGCAGTCACAAACAGCATCGCTATGCAAGGCTGGCAGTAAACATTAATGTTGGCTCACAAAACACAGGCCTGCAGTCTGATAACTTCTAGCTGGGCCCTGATTCTTATCAGGTTATGGCTGAAGAAGTTTAATGAAACTTAATCCAGTCTAGACTGTGGGTCCTGTTCCTCATGTTATAACTGTTTGGTGGCATCAACTGCATCATAAATATTCAAGGTAAGGTTGGTACAGAAGCCGCTTACTTGTTTAAATATATATGTATATGTACATATATACGTGTGTGAGTGATTTAAAGCTCATTAAGTTATATTTCCAAGTTTGAAAAGGCTTGAATTTCTATCAAGCCAATAGTGACTAGGTAGTTCATAGAGACATACTCTATGAAAATAGTGTCATATCATTTATGCACAAAATAAAAAATTACCAATATGAAGTTTAGCTAAGCCTATTTCAGCTAACAGTCACAAACTATGATCACTTAGATGGGGACCGGGGCTCTCCTTTCCAGAGAGAGACTGTACCTTAAGAGTCACAGGATGTGGGCAGGGGGTTAGGTCAGTATCAAGCACGTGCTTCACACATGTGAAGCCCTGGTTCAATCCCCAGTACAAAAGTCCCACACCCCAAAAATCACATAAATAAAATTGAAGAAAAAATTATGTTCTAGAGATTTTTCTAGATTTTAAGCACCCTCAATAACTTACACTTATAAAAATCAATATAATCATAAATATTTCACATAATTACATCTTGTTAGTGCAATCAACTAGTTTTTATAATTAAACTAGATATATTCAGCTACAACTACTGTATGTCACTCCAGGACTTAGAAGCAATACACCAGTGTTTATTTTTATTACTTGCCTAGCAGATATTTCACAAACTCAAACTGTTGAGCCCAGAAGAAAGGTGAAGTATTATAAGGGATGACTGGCCACCACTGAATCAATCCATGCATGGCACTCATGACTTATGGAGAGACTGCTGTTCCTGCTCACGGGACTGTTACTGTAAGGAAGCACTAACAGAACTGGAAAAGTGCTAGCACTGCCACCACTACATAGTCGCCATTTTCTGATCAATGCTGAGTTCACAGGATGCTTTTGATTTGCTGATGATTTTTTCCATATGCATTCCAGTAGTGCAAGTAGCTGTGTTTAGAATAATACGGGCGTATACACCTTTGAAATGACTCAAACTAAGATAAAACATTCATACTAATATAAAAATACAAATACATAAAAAGTGGACACTAACACAAATTCTCTGAAGTAAACAAGGCAGAACTTTTGAGCTCAAAGGGACATTTCAGGGTCTCAAAATTGATGCCAAGTCCAAGATGAAACTTACTAAGAGATGTACGTAGCCTTCACCCCAACTTTTCAACAGAGCTGCTGCGAACTGCTGAACTGCTAACCCCTGCTCTAAAAGCCACAGGGTAACTGAAGGAAAGCTAACAGGGAGAGATATGCCAGACTGAAGAGTTTCAGATCTTTAAACCAAACACAAACCAGACAGGTCTATGAGCAGATCTCGAATTTAGATATGAGACTTCATCCTGGGAGTTTAACTTATTAACCAGTGAACAGAGCTGCAGTGTCTGTGGTAGGTATGTTCCAGGCTGTTAAATCTTATAAACATCAATGTGGGGCCCACATTAAGCATGCTTACATATTAGTAGATACTACAGATAAAGGAGTGTAAAAATCTGATTTGGTTGTTTATGATTATTTTCCAATTATATTTTATTTTACCTCAAGTATTAAATTTGTATTCCCTGAGTACAAACTAGCTAAGGAAAAAGTATACCCAGAATTATATAAGTATCTTTGAAGACCTATTTGCATAAAGTAGAGAATTACTGCACTACATAAGCCAATTCCCTGGCACACAAGGACATATATTTCTGCTTAGCTTAGGCCCCTGAGTTCTCTCTGCAGATGACCAGATGTGACAAGGGGCTCTAAAATGGTTTCTTCATCAAAACAAAACCCTAACTTGTGGATGGTTTGCTTTTCTCTCTCCCTGCAGATTTAATTTGGGACAGCTTCAATTTTGGTTTCCTAACAAAAAGTACTTAGGAAATGTTCAGTGGCCACTGAAGAATGAATTAAAACGGATAGTAGAAAGTCACTGGTCTCTTATTCTTTTGTTTTCCACAAGTAATCTTGTTTAAGACTTTTCAGTCATCTATTAAGAGAAAAAAGAATAGAAATTCTACCACAAAACCATCTGTCTGGTCAAGAACCCAACACGTGATACCAGCTGCAAACCCAGGATGGACATGTCTGCCGGCACACGGAGTGGTTCTGAACTTGATTCAGGCTGTCCAAAGCACCTGAAAGGGAAGAAGTGTGTCTTAAGTGTCACAACCACACTGGCTGTGGCACTCAGGGCCAACTGTTTTCCATATTTTATTATTGGATGTTAAGGTTTCTTTATTGTTTTCTTTGTGAAACAGGCCTTGCTATCTATCTAGTCTAGTTTGGCCTCATGCTTCCCACTAGGATTACAGGGAAGCAACCATACTCAGCAGATGTTTGGAAACAGTAAACTAGCTTGGGCAAAGTAGGGTTACACACAGTTATGTGGCTTGCTTTTTCTGAAAGAACTCATCCAAGTCTTTAGTGCTAATACCCACTGTCCTCTGTAAGGTGCAGAGCAGAACACAAGGTTTTCCAAAATTATTCCATGGATTTCCTTGTTTTAGGAAATACTATTTTAGAACCAGATGGAATCTATTTCCAGGATTTAAGTAAGGCCTACATCTATAACCTAACAGTAATTCTCCCTAGGATCCAAGAGGGCCTGATCTTAACTCAGTATCTACTACATCCAGTGTTGACTGAAATGTGGAAATTTTAAATTTGCAAAGAATTCTTTCCTTCTTTGTTCCCAAGAGTAACAGAAACCTGTGCTAGGACAAAGGTCTGCCTTCTGTTCTGCTAGAGGATTCACTGAATTCTCTCTGCAAACCAATTACTCCATCACCTAGACTCATAAAAGAATTATGTTTTAAAATGTGAGAAGAAAAGAAACAAAGTGATGACCTTCAGTTCTCCTGAAATTCAACAGGTAACTGTCAACCTGGATATCTATAAACACTGGAACCAAGAAAATAGTAAATAAGTTTTTAGCTCTCCAATAGCATCATAATCATTCAAACAAAGTAATTTTGCTATGAGCAAGCTTTTAACATCAAATTCACTAGACTAATAAAGCATTCTGGCATCCTTCCTGTCTTTAAAACTGTTGTGGATGTTGTTATTAGAGATAAGGAATCCAATCAGTTCCTTATTTCAAAGTTTTCCATTCATACTTAGGCAAATATTTAGAGGTGGTATGCTCCCCTACACACACAAAGGGATATGTACACATTTGGAGAAGCCAAAATTATGAAACATCCATAAAACACGTTAGAGAAAACAGGGCTAAGTATTGCTATTAAAACAACTACTAAAAATTACTGTCTACTGCCACAAGATGGCAATCTTTCAAAGATTAAAAACTTAAGCTACCTTAATTGTACACCCACCCTCTTTCTCAAATTGGAGAACAAAGGTCCTTTAGATTTTGATACTGAGAATTGGAGTGATAAGTATTGACCATCATTTTCTAAAAGAACTACAATATTATCTGATGGGATACGATGCAAACTCATGATTTAAAAAGCTATTTACAGACAGACAAACTTGTCTTCCATAAACACATGAGAAACTTAGTCTAATAGTCTCATTTGCTCTTCTTGGTAGATAGAAATATACCATTTTTGGTGAAGAGAAACCTGTCAAGGCAATGTTGCTTTCATTTTCAAGAGCTTAATATTTTCTAGGGTAAATCCAGTCAATGATTTTTTTAATCACAACATAAATACAATAAATGAATAAATACATTATTAGATAAATTATACATAATTTAAAAATACTTTTACTAAAACAAAATATAATCAATTAATTTTATCCTGCTATATAGTGTTTTTATCTTAAATTTTAAAAAAACTTGCACAAAAAAGTTTGGTTCTTTTTGATTAAAAGCACTGATGTGTCAATACATACATGTATATATGTAAACAACACATATACTTATTCCAGGAGAATATACTTTGAAATGTTTAAGGCTTCCCTGTCCAATCAGTTTCAACAGTGAAGGTCACAGCAATCAAGCTTTGGAAGTACACAAAGGCCCCATGGACAACACAGGGCTTTGAACTGAAAGATACAAGACCAGGAACCACACAAGACTGAAAAACAATGAACAAAGACAATGGCTATTGAAGACGGAGGTGGCATCACTAACAACTTAAACCTTAGGTGAATCAGCAAAGACGTCAGGGCCATAACCTCCTGGCCCTCCCAACACACCCCAGGGCCATAAACACAAAACAGGTCATCAGAGTAGAATTTCCTTTACGGGGCTGTTGGTATTTTGCCTTGTTTCATTAAACTGTGTATTACTTTTGCATGGTTTTGTCTTGCTTGGTGGTGGTGGTATTTAACTAGGGGCCTTGCACAAATGTTAAGAAGCCTGGAGACTGGGCACCTGTTAACAGAAACACAGTCTTTCTGGCTAATACTAAGCTGTATTTGCAGAAACCATTAAAAAGAATTTGTTTTCTAATATTTAGGGGGATAAGATTTTCAGATTTGTACATTTAAATATTTGACTAACACTTTTTCTATTCTTAATCTCCTTGTGCAAGAAAACTGGGTTCCTGGATAGTCTGACACCTTTTGAAATTTAGGAAGCAAACTGGATTTACGTGCACTAAACATGAAGGAAGGAGGTATCACCTTCTAAATTAGCTGGTTTATCAGTGAGGTGTGCTCATCATGTGTAGTGAACTCACAAGTATAAACTAGCAAACTTTATCAACATTCATCCATTAAAGGTACTACCTATTTGAATTCATCATAGGCACAGTAGAATAGAATTCTAAAAGTAAACAAAACGCCAGACTTTTGTGTTTTCAGTAATTTCAATACACTGCATGTCACCTGGGAATATTCACATCAATTGATATTGCAGAGTATGTAATACCCAAAAGTGAGATACTAACTTCAAGAGTGTATGTGATTTTTCACAGTGCAGTAACAGAAAGACAGAAACCAGTGGTAGAGTATCAGCGAGCTAAGGTAGTGATCAGACTGGCACACATTTCAAAAAAATCCATGGTGTGACTGCCCAGGCGCGGGGGAGCCGAAGACAAAGTGCTTCCAGTCAAGGAGCCCGTGAGAGAACCAGAAAGTGAGTGGTTCTCAGCTGTGGTGGAATCAAAACTTGACCTTGGTCTGTGCAGGCCAGCAGCAGAACAGGAACGCTGAGGTGTTGAAGAACCAGACCTCTGCTCCACCACCTCATCTGAAAGACCAAAGAACACTAACTATAGCAAGTGCACTTGCCCAAGTCTTCCCAGGAAGCTGCTGCACTGAGAACAGGAGGTAGGCAGACCTGAGCACAGAGAGCCTGGTAAGCACTGGGATGTGCATGTGTCAGGAGCAGAAGAGGCACTATCTCCTCCTTCCACAGTCATTACATGTCACTAATCACTCCTAACATTTCCACAGCTACTGCTCCCGAGTCCCTCTCAACATAGGACGCAGCATTTACACTGAAATGAAAGTGAACATGCTTACATCTGAAAATACCTTACATCCTCAGCAATTTATTTTCTGCTAAAACTACATATTTAATTCACTTACATTTTTGTTAAGACTACTTTAAAAAGTAGAGAACCCACCCACCATGTCTGTGAAATGATTCTAACAGTAAGTCAAATGGTGCCGAGTTTATTTCTCAAAACTCATCCCTGCTAGTCTCCTTACCGTCAATGCTTTTGAAGTCTAAAAGATAGCTCCGATTGTCAACCAGGTAAAGCTGCAAGCTCATTTTCACGTAAGTGCCAGTCACTGGGTTTTTTCTTCTTACTCGAAGATGGTAGGCATTCACTACCTAAAACCAGAAACAAATAAAAACTTAGAACTACAATGTCTCCCATCCTAGCAAACAAAATCAAAAGCAAATATGGGTGAGAAAGAAGGATTTATCGTTGATTCTTCTATGTCACAAGTAATTTGGTATATTTAATCCCACTAACAATACCATTTGTAAAAACTCAGATCCTATCGAGTCTAGCCTTTAACCCAGATACGATCTACTCTAGAGTATTAATAATAATCTTAGTAGCCTTTGCTTCAGTGGTTTTGATAAATAGGGAGCAGAAGGAATAACAGAGCTAAATGTCAGTGGCTCACATCAGGTACAGCCATAAAACCCCAACAGCACGATATCCCCAGGATCAAGTCAAACTGTAGCTCAGATAGAGAAAACTCTGAAAACTCTGGGTTTTCAGAACCTGTCACATTAGTTTCTAGATTCTTTCCATTGGATAGTTTAAAATGTTGGATTCTTTTGTTTATATGCTTATAAAGTGAGACAGGGTCCCACACTGGGTTTTGAGCCCATAGAAATTCTCCTGCCTCAGGTCCCTGGAGTGCTAGTGTTATAGGCATGAGCCACTATGCCCAACAAAATCCCATTTAACTACAAAAACTTGCTTCAGAAAAAGGAGATTGGCTTTAGTTTAAGGAAATATTATTTAATCATGTAAAAATCATGAAATGAAAGCAAATTAAAATTCACTTATTAAAATGTGCTGAATATTTGTATGATAAATTTGAAATGTTTTTCCCTTTAATGGCTCACATAACAAAACCGTAAGTCATGAATCTGGAAAGGGACAAGTAAGAGAGCTGGGGACAGGAATATGAGAAGAGAGAATTGAGAGAACAAGAAGAATTCATTTTATACATGTATGAAATTGTTAAAGAATGATCTTAATTTAAAAAGTTAAAATAGGCCAGTTATAGTGGCATGTGACTTTAATTCCAGCACTTGGAAGCAGTTGGCAGGTGGATTTCTATGAGTTCCAAGCCAGCCTGGGCTACATAGTGAGTTCCAGGACAACCACAGCTACATAGTGAGACCCTGTCCTGTCTCATAAAAACCAAATAAATAAATAAATAAATTAAACATTCATCATCACTCTCAAGAAAAGAACAGTTAAAGGGATATCTTAAATTTTAAAAATGTCCCCATATATACTCAAAGAGTTGAACTGCAACAAAATGTTAAATTGAAAACGTAAAATGTGTGCTAATAGTAAGAAAATATGCCATAGTCAAGTGTGACAGTTAACACTGAACAGGGCTGGCACTGTTAAAGACTACAGGGACCTTTGAAGTTGTGCTAAATGCATTTTCTACTGTGAGATGGCCATGCTTCTGTGGGGAGAAGAGACGAAAGGCTACAGTTTTGAAATGATATGACCAGGTGTCAAGCTGACAGAGGTAGAGTTGTGATGGTTACTACTGTCAACATGACAAGGTCTACAAACCTCTGGGCATGTCCGTGAGAGACTGTCTGGATGGAGAAAACTGAAGGGGAAAGGCTGCACTAAATGTGCGCAGCAGCACTTCATATGCTGGAGTTCTGGACTGAGGAAAAGGAGAAAGTGAGCTGTGCACCAGCATTCACTGCTTTCTGCTTCCTGACAGTGAACACAATGTGACCGACAGACCATCTGTCTCACCCTCCTGCCTCCATGACTTCCTGCTGTGATGGACTCTATCCTCCCACTGAGTCTGAACAAACCTTCCTTCCTTCCCCAAGTTCCTTTTCTTGGGGATTTTGTCACAGCACTGAGGAAAGTAACTAACATACCAAGGATGAAAAACTCCAAATAAGAGAATTTCTCAGCTTGGAGAAAAGTATTTGTTGACAGAATGAACATGCTTGACAGCATAATATAAATTGAACACTAGCTGCCATAGCCATCGACCACTCGTGCCAAAAAGGCATGAAAAGAAAACAAGCTTCCTGAAAAAGGTGAAAAGAAATTGACTTTCAAGATTTCAGATTTCAGAAATGTTGTTGCTATGAACCATGATGAAACAGGTGGGCTGTTTTCTCAGATAACTTCAATTACTTGGCCAAGAATGCTATTCTGTAACTCAAAATACGTTCCCAGCATCAACAGTTTTTTTTATCCTTTATTTATTATGTTTTGACAGTGTGTGTTATATAGTTTAAAAGAATGAACCATGTCAACCAAAAATATGAAGCCCACTACAATTATTTCTAAATCAAAAACAACTTTTATGTGGACCTCAATACTCAACTGCTTAGAAAACTTATATAAGAAAAATTTTCTCTACAAACAGCCTAAGTACATTGTAATTTCCTACCTTCCATTCAAAATCCAGCTGCTTCATAGCTCGGTACACTTCAGCCATAATGTCATATGGTTTGCTCTGACTTCGGATTCCAAGATGCCACTTGGCTTTTTTCACAGCTAAAGATTTGGGCTTAGTTGTGTTCAGTGCATCCAATGGGCACCGTGCTTTGGGGCTGTCTGCTATAAGAGGTGGCATCCTTTCAGGATGTGGTTTCAGGCCTGGGGGAATATGCATGGCACTATCATCCATAAAAGAACCAGTTGGAGGACTAGAGGCGAGGTAGAACTCACTGGCTTGGTTCATTATTCTCCGATTGTCAATGATAAGATGATAAGCCACTGCAAGCTGGTCTTGAGGATCACCACTATATAAACTGTTCATTACTTCTGATTCTGTACACTCAAATTTTTCACATACTTCTTTCACAGCCTCATCATCAATGACGTTAGCATCATAGGAAGGGTCTTCAGGAAATAGGTAACTGGGCAAATCCTGTTTAAACCATTCATGTTCTCTAGGAAAGACACCATACACACTATTGTAAGAACATGCTTTAGTAAGTCCCACATAATTTAGACATGGTGCAATGTAACATAAAGACTCCAAACTACTGGTCTCTAGTTCCAGCTCTGTTGCTATTGGCTATGTGACCCTGGTGCCAGTTAATTAATCTCTATCCTTAAATAAATACAGATATTCAGACTTGGGATATTTCCTTGAAAATGAACAAAGGGGGGGCTTCACTTCAAGGAAAACAACTAGCAACATTTGTGGCCAATGATAGAATCTAAGTTACCAAGCAAAATTCCAGATGGTATATAGTAATTTGTACCTGCCTCCTGGGGCTTGATGGTGAAGTTGGTATTGATAATAATGAATATGATTTTTGATAGTGTAAATGAAATGTGGGAAATCTGTATATTTCAATAATGCAAGATTTCCCAATGATGTGACAAAATTATACATGCATAAGAGAGTCACTTACAATTTAAAACATATCACTATAGTGTGGTAAAATAAGAATGTTAATTGATTTTTCTCATTTGATATAGTAAACTGTAAGCTAGTATGTTAACCTTTGTTTTAGTTATCAAAGAATATCACTATTATCTGAGTGGCTACTAAATACTCCTTTATTTTTCAACCACTTACCTGAGTTCATATTTTCCTCAGGAACTTCAACTAACATAAAATATTGCAAGATTAGCTGGGTGGTGGTGGCACACACCTTTAATCCCAGCACTTGGGAGGCAGAGGCAGGTGGATCTCTGTGAGTTTGAGACCAGCCTGGTCTACAGAGTAAGTTTCAGGACAGCCAGGGCTGTTACACAGACAAATCCTGTTTCAAAAAGCAAAATAAATAAAGAAATAGAATTGCAAGATTAAATGAAGTAGATTGAGAATTTGATTAAACTAGACACTGAGGACATTTATAAAAGTGTAAGATGATGCTTTTTACAATGTTTTCACAAGTCTTCATAATAGAGACATTACTATTATTAGGCTTCGTGGTATACACTTATTATCCTAGCTATTAAGAAGGCTGATTCAGGAGACTCTCAAGTTTAAGGCTTGCTTCAGCTACAAAAGAAAGTATAAGCCACCTTGGGTAATTTAGTGAGACCTGATCTCAAGTAAAATGTAAAAGGAGATGGGGAGGGGAACAGAGACATAACTCAGTTTTTGTATAACAGAGATATAAACAGAGTGTTTGCCTAGGAAGTGCAAGGCTCTAGGTCAAATCCTTAGATTGGTTGGTTTGTTTAAGACACTTAAATGAACAGATTTTTAAAGTAAATTTCATTCTAATTTTAATTATTATATGTTAACTACTGGTATGTCATTCACTAAAAAATTATTTGAGGTCCTCAATAACAAGAGTATAAGGAGATACTAAGACTAAAATTTTTGCACACTGCTCTCCTAATCTCCTTTTCTCTCACTTCTGGACCTTTGTGTCTGATACTATGACTACTTTCAAATATTTGCAGAGATGATACACTAGATAGATACAAACAGATATTTAAAAATAAGTGGTTCCAAATACACAACTATTCTGATAAAATCTGGGCGTGGAAAACAGCAAATGAGAGCCTATGATTTAGAATGGGAGAGCGGGGAGGGAGGCCACTCAAGTTAACATTTAGGCACACACCAGAACGATCAGCAGCCAGCTAAACAATGTGTAGAAAACGTGTACTGCAGCAAAAGAAACAATCTCTGTAAAATCTTAGACAACAAAGGGTTTTGTCATGTTACAAGAACTGCTGTGGTCCAATATCATAAAAGCCTAGTGAGACATGGGATGGAGTGGTAGAAGAAATCAGGTATTGTGGAGAGTTGTAGCAAAAGCTTTCAAAGTAACCTTTAAGCTAGGTTAGGAAATAGGAGTGCAAAAGAGTCCGAGAAGTTTCCCCATATTCCTGAAACTCACAAAGGCCAGATGTGTGCCCAGGAAAACAACTGACAAGATCCTAATTCGTTATCAACGGGTGGCTGGAAGGCTCTGTACAAGGACATGAAAGCAAAGGCAGAGTTATCACTGCCTGTTCAAAAACTAGAGATACACCCTCCATGTAAACACAGAATCACTTTCAAAGGCTGGGGGCCCACTACATCATGGCATTTAAAAAAAAAATCTGGCCAGGCGGTGGTGGTGCAAGCCTTTAATCCCAGCACTTGGAAGGCAGAGGCAGGTGGATCTCTGTGAGTTCGAGGCCAGCCTGGTCTACAAAGTGAGTTCCAGGAAAGGTGCAAAACTACACAGAGAAACTCTGTCTTTAAAAAAACTACAGAAAGGGTTGGAGAAATGGCTCAGCAGTTAAACACTAGCTGCTCTCTCAGAGGACCCAGGTTCAATTCTCAGCACACACGACAGCTCACAACTGTAACTCCAATTGCAGGGGATCACACACCCTCACACAGACATACATGCAGGCAAAATACCAAAGCACACAAAATTAAAATAAATATATCATTAAAAAAAAAAGGAGAGGGAAAGATAAATAAATAAAAACAATGGAGTACTGATAAATACTACACATGCAAGTATCTTGAAAGCATTATGCTAAATTAAAGACCCTAGAGATCAAAGGTCACGTGCTATAAAATGTTCAGCAAAGAGAAAGTAGATTACTGGCTGCCAGACACAGGGGACAGAAACTAAAATTTTTTAAAGTGTCACCTAAGTTTTTATATATTTACTTATAAAAAGGTATTAGTAGTTCATGTGCCAGATACTATTTTTAAGAGCTTCAATTACAACACACAAACACACACACAGACACACACAGACACACACACAGACACACACACACGACAGTCTTGTGTGCTTTTGCAAGCTCAAACCAGACAAAAGCCCAGCGTGGAGAAGAGAGGTGGGCACGAAGTCCCACCCCTATCTAAGAAGCTATTGGTATCTGACAGCTCCTGGGAAAGAGTTAGTTTTCTTTATGGACTATGAGCTCTGGTAGATCTAAAAGGCCCCACTGGATGATCACACAACCAAGACAGCAGTAACTGGACTCCAAAGCTTAAAAAAAAAAAAAAAAAAAGAATGAGGGCATAAAGTTAAGTGGGTATGCAATAAGGGTTGTATCTGAGAGATGTGGAAGAGGAATAAATAGAATAAAATACATGAAAAGTATTAAATTCTCAAAGAAATAAAAACAGTGTTTTACAGACAGGGTCTTATTACATTGCTTACGCTAGCCTCAAGTTTACGATCACCCTGCCTCCCAGCCTCCCAATTGCTAGAAGTCACATATACTTCAGCACACTTAGCCAAGTTTAAATTGGTTCCCAGAGCTGAAGACAGGTCCTTTGGAATCGCTGGCTGGCAGTCCTATCCTACTTGATGAGTTCCAGGCCACAGAGACCTTTTCTCAAAGGAAAAAAAAAGTGGATGCCACCTGAGTAACAACATGAAAGGTTGCCACACACATGGGCATACATGAGAATGTACATCTGCATACACAAATATACACATGCAAAATTAAGTTGAATATTTGAAATTTCTAATATGCAATTGTTTTTAGACCTACAAAAATAGCAATTTCACATGGCTCCATTTGTGATTACCTTCTCAATGATTTCACTATAAATAGAGTAATTAAAGAACAAATATGTTAATTATTATTAGTAACCAGAGAAACCAATATTCATATTCACAGTTAAGCTTCAGATCCACTGTTTTCAACAACAGTAATTTTAGTACTACTATTAATGCTGTAATAGGTTTAGAGAAGCTGAAGGAACACAAATTTCAGAACACCAAGAGCACACATCTTTCCTGTTTACCACTGTATTTCTAGCACTCAGCTTAAGACCTCACACAGAGCAGATGTTAAACACATATTGGAAGAAAAGCAAAAACAAGTAAGTAAGTAGAGAGATTTTTTTCCTGAGATCCTTAGGAGATTGCTTAAGAGAATATTTTGTAGACAAGTTGAGCATCTTCAACCAGAAAATCCAAACTCTTAATGCACCCAAATCTCAAATCTTTTAGGCATCGTGCTCTAAAACTTCTGAATTTTTAAGCATGTCTGGGTTTTGGATAAGGATGCTTAACTGGAAAAATCTATGCAAATATTCCAAAATCTGAAAAACACTGAAATTTGAAACATTTCTGGTCTCAAGCATGTCTGATAACTATGCTCAATTTCCATAATAGTAAGCCACTAATTGTCATAGTATATGAGATATATAAAGTACTATGAGAGAATTAAGGAGAAATAAATGTCACACAAATCATGTAACAATCTAGGATAGTAAAGATAGCATTGGTTTTTAATTCAGGAAAGCTCTGAATTCCAATTTTCCACTTATAGGTAGCCCAGGCAGACATCAAAGTTGCTATGTAGCCAAAGATGACCCTGAACTTCTAATCCTTCTGCCTCACCTCCCAGTGCTGGATTACAGATGTGCACCTCTACACCAAGTTTATACAGTGTGAGGGACCAAACCCAGGACTCTGTGAATGCAGTGCAAGCAGTATACCAACTAAGCTGTATCTACTGCCCTTGACAAACAGGATAACTCACCATTAAATATATGCCATACACAGTGTATTTTAGTATGAAAATGCATCCCTAATTTAAAGTAACTTAGACAGAAGCAAATAGATAAATACACCATGACATAACCTAAGTTTCAATTTTATTGTAGTAAAATGAGAATTATAACACCTACCTATGAAAAACTCAGTGCAACAAAATGGGTTAAATATACAGCATAATGCTTGATGTTTACCAACTGTCAAAAAATTTAATGTTTATGCCTGTTGAAGTATGCTTTATCAAATTAAGAATTCTCATATTGAAATATTGACCATAAAACAGTGAGAATTATAAATCCAAGTTATTAGTTTAAGTATAGAAATGTTGCCATTATTTTGTCCTTTGGTTGTAACCCTTAGCCTGTAATGGTTAACCCATCTCACCAGCCCAGAATATCACTATTTTATCGCACTTCCTATGGGTCAATTAACTCATTTTAGATTTATTTATGTTTTTCTCCTAAAGTCTATAAATATATTAACAATTATTTTGAAATAACAAAATTAATTCTGTTACTATTCTAAATTTACCAGTGCTTATATATGCAAGTGCAAGTATATTAGCATGTCTAATTTTTCTTCTAGGGAAAACCCAATCAGAAGAACTATTTATTCCAAAGAATTGTGAACACAGGTCCCACCCCCACCCCCCACCCCACCCCCGCTTGGTTCATTTCCGTAACTAAATGTGGCAGCAATTTTACAGCTCTACATTCTTATACATGAGGCCAGGAACGCTGGAAGAGGCCAGGGAAACAGGGAAAGGGAACAAGGCTGTGGTTTGAGCATGGAATGCCCCCCACAAGTGCCTACGGTAGGACATGTGGCTCCCAGCTAGTGCTGCTGCTTATGAAGGTTGTGGAATCCGTCAGGAGGCGGAGCTTCACGTGACAAAGGACTGGGGGTAGGCCTCACAGCCCAGACATTTCTGTCTACTCTGCTTCCTGACTGGAGACACAACGTGACCAACCACCTCAGGCTCCTGCAGCCGTGCCTCCCCACAATGGACGACATCAATGGACAACATCAATGGACAACATCTCTCCAAGCACTGAACCAAATTAAACCCTTCCTCTCTAAGGTGCTTCTTGCCAGGTTTTTAGTCACAGCAATGAGGAAAGTGACACCTAAACGTGAAAAGAATCCAGTCCTTGCTTACAAGAGACCACAGCAGCCAGCATAAACCACCACCTCATCCACCCTTAGAATATTCCACAGGATATGCATGTCAAAACACTTACTCCAGCTTTAGGGGAAAGGAAAAGGCTCTGAAAGATGTCAAAAGAATGTGCCTCTAAACAATCTTTGGAACCTTATATAAAAACAAAAGCCCTCTAAAAACATGCATAACATATAGAAGCATTACATCATCCCTGAAAAAAAAAAAAATATGTACAAGCATTACATCATTCCTCTAAAAAAAAACTAACATGTAGAAGGCATTAATTACATCATTCCCCTAAAAACATACATAACATGTAGAAACATTACATCATTCCTCTAAAAAACGTACATAACATGTAGAAACATTACATCATTCCTCTAAAAACATACATAACATGTAGAAGGCATTACATCATTCCTGCCAGTATGTTACTTAATTCCTCAACAATCAAAGGATTCTCCACAGTAAATCTACTAGTGGCTACTGAATCAAAAACTTAACAAAACTTTTTTTCTTAACTATGCTAAGGAAGTAACCATTAAGTGAAGCTTGGAGAGACAAATCTCCATGTTGTCTCCTACTAGGATTCTAGCTTCTAAAGGACAGTGTGGTTAGAGGCTGGGAACTAGAAAGGGGCCATTGGATAGGAAATATGAGGCTTCAATGGAGAAAGGTAGGAATGGGAACCAAACATGGGAAACAGAAAAGGGGCAGGGGGGAGTCGGGGAGCAGAAGGGTACGGGGGGACACGGGGAGCAGAAGGGTACGGGGGACACGGGGAGCAGAAGGGTACAGGGGGGACACGGGGAGCAGAAGGGTACGGGGGGACACGGGGAGCAGAAGGGTACAGGGGGGACACGGGGAGCAGAAGGGTACGGGGGGACACGGGGAGCAGAAGGGTACGGGGGGACACGGGGAGCAGAAGGGTACAGGGGGGACACGGGGAGCAGAAGGGTACGGGGGGACACGGGGAGCAGAAGGGTACGGGGGGACACGGGGAGCAGAAGGGTACGGGGGGACACGGGGAGCAGAAGGGTACAGGGGGGACACGGGGAGCAGAAGGGTACAGGGGGGACACGGGGAGCAGAAGGGTACGGGGGGACACGGGGAGCAGAAGGGTACGGGGGGACACGGGGAGCAGAAGGGTACGGGGGGACACGGGGAGCAGAAGGGTACAGGGGGGACACGGGGAGCAGAAGGGTACAGGGGGGACACGGGGAGCAGAAGGGTACGGGGGGACACGGGGAGCAGAAGGGTACGGGGGGACACGGGGAGCAGAAGGGTACGGGGGGACACGGGGAGCAGAAGGGTACGGGGGGACACGGGGAGCAGAAGGGTACGGGGGGACACGGGGAGCAGAAGGGTACAGGGGGGACACGGGGAGCAGAAGGGTACGGGGGGACACGGGGAGCAGAAGGGTACGGGGGACACGGGGAGCAGAAGGGTACGGGGGGACACGGGGAGCAGAAGGGTACGGGGGGACACGGGGAGCAGAAGGGTACGGGGGGACACGGGGAGCAGAAGGGTATGGGGGGACACGGGGAGCAGAAGGGTACGGGGGGACACGGGGAGCAGAAGGGTACGGGGGGGACACGGGGAGCAGAAGGGTACGGGGGGACACGGGGAGCAGAAGGGTACAGGGGGGACACGGGGAGCAGAAGGGTACGGGGGGACACGGGGAGCAGAAGGGTACAGGGGGGACACGGGGAGCAGAAGGGTATGGGGGGACACGGGGAGCAGAAGGGTACGGGGGGACACGGGGAGCAGAAGGGTACGGGGGGACACGGGGAGCAGAAGGGTACGGGGGGACACGGGGAGCAGAAGGGTACGGGGGACACGGGAAGGGGAGGTGGAAATGCATGCATCTGAATTGAACATGTACAAACATGTTTCATGCGTATTTCCTCAATACTGTATTTATATAGCATTTTCATTATATTAGACACTATAAATAAAAAATGTAAGTCAGTTTTACAGTGGTGGTAAGGGTTCAAAAAAGCCATATTCAACCATATCTAAAACACAAAGTTCTCCAATTTTCACACTGAAATATCTTCAGTTCCTTCTAAACTTCCACTTTCAGTAACAGTAGTAAAGTAGCAGGTGAATAGACAGGTTCTTAGGACAATTTGTGCCCTGACAGTTATAATGCAGGAGAGGAGATACGTTGAGAAAGAACAGATACAGTATGAGAACGCAGTAACAAGGCATGTGCTGAACAATCAGAAGCTCCTATACAGTGTGAGGGAACTAGAAATGATTTCACAAAGCTTGTGCCATGTGAGCAGAACATGAAAGAAGACTGGAATGATAGCAGATCAGAAGATGCAGAAAAGAATCAGGATACAGAGCAATACAATAAAGGGCTCAGGACCTAAGTCTAATGTGAAGGATGTGGTGGGGAAGGCAAGAAATGAGACTCTAGGAGACTGCATCCTTCTTTTTTTTTTTTTTTTTTTTTTTTTTTGGTTTTTCGAGACAGGGTTTCTCTGTGTAGCTTTGCGCCTCTCCTGGAACTCACTTGGTAGCCCAGGCTGGCCTCGAACTCACAGAGATCCGCCTGGCTCTGCCTCCCGAATGCTGGGATTAAAGGCGTGTGCCACCACCGCCCGGCTGACTGCATCCTTCTTATACAGGGCCTTAGATGCTTTACTACTTATGCTAATAAGCATAAAAGCAATGGAAAATATTTGAAGGATAAGTGACAATCAGGTCTACATAATAAGTTCAAATATTAAAAGTTCCTTTTCTTTGAAACAGGGTCTCACATTGTAGCCCATGCTGGCCTTGAACTTCAGATCCTCCTGCCTCATCCTTCTGGGTAGGTGCTGGGATTACAAGAACTTACCACACACTTTGCCTAAAAATTCTCATAAAATAAAGTGTCACAAAGCATAGGAGGAGCAAATATTCTACTATCACTATTACTACAACGAGAAAATGTACAAAATAACAAAAACTATAGTCACCGGATGTCTTTGATAGTTGCTCGCTTCAAGGGGTCCACCTGCAGCATGTGCATCAGCAGAGTGGCAACAGAACGGTTGAGATATTCCGGGATATAAAACACACCCCCTCGGATCTTCTTAAAGAGTGTAGGCACGTGCTCATCATCGAAGGGGAGGGTGCCACAGAGAAGGGCATACAGGATAACGCCACAGCTCCAGATATCAACCTCGGGACCCGCATACAACCTGAGAAAGGAAAACACAGGCCTGAGTGTAGGTACCATTTCCCCTCATTGTTAGTATCCTGCTTCCATCCACGATAAAGCAAAACCAACTTGGTATATATTGCTATTTAAGGTCATCAATGAATACATAGCAATTCCCAAACCTCAAAAATTACTCTTCATAGAAAATAACCAGCCTAATTAGCAACACAAACTTGCCAAAAGACTATTATTTTATTTGTTAAAAAATAATTATAAGTGCTAATTAAAATTTATTTTACTTTCAGGCCAGGCATGATGGCAAATGCCTTTAATCTCAGAATTTGAGAGGCAGAGGCAGGCAGATCTCCGTGAGTTTGAGGCCAGCCTGGTCTAAAGAGTCCCAAGCCATGCAGGGTAAGACTCTGTTCTCAAAAACAAACCAACTAACAAAACTTACACTTTCTCTTTTATTTCTTTAAGGAAACATCAAAGTAAATAACCACAAACTAGAAAAAAATACAATAATACATATAGTGTTTTCCCCCTCAGAACTATTTCTGATATATATATTTCTGATATTATATATATAATGCATATATAACAAAATTTTTGTTCCTAGCCCACATTTAAACAAAATTTGAGACATTGAAATACTTAACTGGTACCATATTGACAGTGTTTAACATTATCTTTCCTAAAAGATTTACTTATTTTTAAATCTTATTTTTATGTGTCTGAGTGTGTTGACTGCATGTGTGTCTATGTAGTACTTGTGTGTCTAATACTTAGTCCAGAAGAGGGCATCAGATTCTGTGGAATGGCAGTTACAGGCAGCTGGGACCCCTAATCTGAGTACTCGAAATCAAGCATAGGTCCTCTGAAGAGCAGCAGGTGCTCTTAAGCACTGAGCTATTTATCTGCCCAGCCCCCGTATAAGAGTCCCTACTGCTTTCTTTCAGAATCACTTGCTAACTCAATGGACTAAGACAGTTTGGCTCTAGATAACCTTTGTCTGCATCACACACCTCTCACAATTTCTGTCTTACCCTTCTACTATCCTACTGTTCCCCAGTAGCACACTACCAAAATCAAACTTTGGTCTGAGGTAACAAATTTCTACATTTCCAATGGAAAGAATATGATCTGCTTCAATGGAGTGCTGTCCCTAATTTACATCATTAGCTGTATCATCCAAGCATCTTACAAAATACTTGTGTTCTCTAAAACTTATCAGCTGAATTCTAACCTCGAACTGATGGTATGAGGAAGTGAAGATTCTAAGGAGATCTGAGGTGGAACTCTCATGGAGAAGATCTGTACCCTTATAAAAGACTACCCCAGAGAGATCCCATTCCCCTTTGAGCACACATGCTTAAAGTTAGAAACAGTGGGCTGTGAGGAATAGGCTGTACACACACCAAATCTTTGTGGAGCTCCCGAGCCATGGGACAGACTACCATTGTTTATAAGGCATGCTGTACAGTGCTCTGGCACAGTCCAAGTGAACTAAGACTCTCACAATCTGCTATTTGCAAGCACCTTCTCAATACTTTCTCTCTAGCATCCTGTGAACTTTTAAAACCAGACACTAGCCACCATGGAATGACTTGACTTCATCTCTGCAGCCCCTGTAAATATTTTATAATGTACCAATGAGCTAATTACATGAGGGACTTCAAAGTCACTCGTCTAGTTTAATTGCTTGAAATATTGTCACCCAAATTTTATTCTTCCAAAGGCAAAATATAAAACAACTGCCTGAAGACTCTGCGAAATGTGTGAAAATACTACTATTAAATAACTATGTCTGTTAAATAAAAACACTGGCTTAAACTTTAGTAAATCCTTACTGATACTTGACATTTTCTACAATAGAATATAGATGTTGCATCAGATCTGTCTCAGTCATGGTCAATGAACAAAATGCATGAACACATTACAATGCCTACATGGAGCTTTAAAAAAATGTACTGTTCTGCCTATAATAAAAAAATAAATGAACAATTTGTTTCTACTATGTTAAAAATCTTCTTCCAAAGGAAATTCAATGTTATTAGAATGGATGCAAGGTCACAAAATGCTCAGTTATCACTACTAAACTCTTACCTTCCTGAGATGACCTCAGGTGCTGCATAGTTTGGCGATCCACAGCTAGTTCGTAGAAATTCACCATCTGACATCATATTAGACAGTCCTAAAAATAAAAGCAATTTATCAGATGCTGGATACTGAAGATACAGGTAAAACAATGATGAAAACTCTTAGTTGTTTCATGCTGCAGAAATCATATTCTTTATTTATTTTAAAGAATAATGGTGGGTGGCAAGAGAGCTCAGTGGGCCAAGATGCTTGAGCAAAGTTGACAACCTGGGTTCACTTCCTGGGTCCTGCCCCTGCCCCCGCCCCCCCCCCCCCCCCCCACACACACACACACTCAGCTCTCCAGTAACAGGAAGCACTGTTAGACTAGAAAGAGGTTATTTTAGGGACCCACGCTGTCACACAGAAAACAACAGAGCAGCACATGTGTAAGTGGAATGAAGCTCACTCCATGAAAATTTTGACTCTTCACAAAAAAAGGTTCACTGAAATTATATTACTTTTTCAAAAACATAAGCACCAAATATTATCTACTTCTGTACACGAAGAAATAAAAAGGCTGCTAATTAAAACAAATAAACAAAAAACAGTGCTTTTAAAAGTCTTTCTTAAAAGGTTGTAATTGGGCATTACAGCTTTAATCCCAGCACTCAGGAGGCAGAGGCAGGTGGATCTCTGTGAGTTCGAGGCTGGCCTGGTCTACAGAGGGAGTTCCAGGACAGCCAGGGCTACACAGCAAATCTTTTTTTGGTTTTAACTGTAATTAGCAGAGCAGCTCCAGCTCATGAGCAGGCTGTTTCCCTGGAAACAGACCCTGCCGTTCAGGTGGGGCTCAGCTCAAGCAGTCAGGAGGGCCACCTGCTCCAACTTCCTGGGAAAGATTTATAATCTAGAGAGCTCCGAGTCAACATAGTAGAAATAATCCACTGAACCAAACTCTTCGCTGAACCACTCACTAGAAGAGTTCAGACGGAAACAGTGAAGCCAGTTTAAAGACAGGTACCAAGCAAACCACAAAAACCTGCAACATGCAACACTGACTTTGCACCTCCCATGCCTCTCTAAGGCTCACCTCATTATCTTCTCCTCAAACATCCACTGTGGAAGCCGTTCTGAGTCAGTTTAGTGTACAGAGTCTAAAAACGTACATTTTACCACCTTGTCTTTTACCCAGGACCAGGTTCATTCTCTCATAAGTGATAAGATATTGCCCTAAGACTGACTTATAGGCCTTTCCATGATCAGTTCAGAAGGAGCACAAAGTTTTAAGCACAAATACAACTTTTCACACCCTTGTTTACATAAATCAGGGAAAGCATCCACTGCATCAACAAAAGCTTCAAAGGAGTTTAGAACTCCTTTCTCACCCTAGCCCCCACCCCAAGAAAAAAACAAGAAACAAAACCCCAAAAAACAAAACAAGTATCATTTCCTTAGGAGGAAAGGAATATTGAATGGATCTGTCTTGACGTGGCCTTCTAACATGTTCTAGAAACCTCGGCCTTTTTTGTGTGGATTTAAATAAACAGAATAAGCCAGTTTGAAGACTGTAATTAATCCCTTTTCACATGTTATAGGATTTGTGTGGTGAACGCAAGTTCTTAGCTCTCTAGGAGTAGTTACCAGTCCATTTTAAAGGTACTACACAACTCTGAGCAACCGTGGAGTAGCATACCAAAGTCAGCTATCTTAGCGTTCATCTGAGCATCCAGCAGCACATTCTCTGGTTTCAGGTCCCGATGGACAACCATATGCCTGTGACAGTAATCCACGGCAGACAGAATCTGCTGAAAGAGTCGCCGAGCTTCCACCTCTTCAACCTAGCATGCAGAAAAAATAAACGGCATCAAGACTATCTAGGACATCTATTATGCATTTTAGTTTCATAACCAGCCTACATACAACTAAGCAGTCTAATTTAGAACTGACTAATTAGAAATTCAACAAGTCAGACAAAGCAAACCAGCCAAAACTTTATCAAAGCTCAAAATATTATTCGATAGGCTTTGCTTTGCTAAATGGTAATGGTGTTTAATTTTCAACTAATACTGAATATGCACAATGTTTTGGGGAATCAATAAAACCAACTAAAATAGAACTTATATGAAAATGCCAAGAAAAGAAAATAATTGAAGCTTCAACATGATTTTATACAGAACAGACTGTGAAAAGCATAAGAATCTTTTGGCGATCAAGTGAGATATAGTTTCCAAATCTGTCTCAAAAAGCATGATTCTCAAGAAAGAAAGTATGTCCTACATGTGTAGTTGACATTATTGCAGAAATAACTGGAAGCACTGAAAATATCTTTGTGGTTACTTAGCTACTTCCAGTGTTTTCTACTCTCTTAGCGTGGGGGTGGGGGTTGAATACTTGTGGTGGTATTGTGTTCCCCAAGATATTGTGTACCCTAATAAACTTATCTGGGGGTCAGAGAACAGAAAAGCCACTAGATGCTTAGGATAGGCAGTGGTAGCACACACCTTTAATCCTAGCATTCCAGAGGCAGAAATCCATCTGTTCAAGGATACAGCCAAGCATGGTGACTCATGCCTTTAATCCCAGAAAGCAAGCCTTTAATCCCAGGGAGTGATGGTAGAAGGCAGAAAGGTATATAAGGCGTGAGGACCAGAAACTAGAAGCATTTGGCTGGTTAAGCTTTCAGGCTTTCTAGCAGCACAGTTCAGCTGAGAGCCATTCGGATATGAGGACACAGAGGCTTCCAGTCTGAGGAAACAAGACCAGCTGAGAAGTTGGCCAGGTGAGGTTAGCTGTGGCTTGTTCTGTCTCTCTGATCTTCCAGTGTTCACCCCAATACCTGGCTCAGGTTTGATTTTATTAATAAGAATTTTTAAGATTCCTGCTACATACTAGATGGCATGTCACTCACCCGCCCATGTTTACAGATGTAGTCAAATAATTCACCTCCAGACACATATTCCATGACCATAAAAAAGTCTGTTGGAGTGCTGATCACCTGGTAACTGTTTCACAAATAAAAAAGGGGGTTAATACAAAGTGGTGCTTCCATACTGATCAACCTCATCCACTATTCTTGCTACAATTTCATATTCCAGTAGTGTATAATACTCTAGGATGGCAACAGATTTACAATGTCAGCAACATAGCAGGGAAGAACATTACAAACGTACCCTACTTCCTGAGACTCAGACTTCCCTTCAGATTTCTGTTATCTTTGAAATCATCATAAACTATACTAAGAGAAAACGCATCATGTATAAACACATGAAAAATTGTCTGTAGAAATATTTTTCTTAGGTTTTTTTCTCCTTGAGATAGATGCTCATCATATAGAATCCAGGGTTACTCAAACTCATAATCTTCCCACCTTGGCTCCCACATTCTGGAATAACAGGTGTATACCACCATATCTGGCCTGGAAAAGTACTTCTAATGGTAATCTTTAGTCTTCAAAGACACAAACAGCAGGGTATTCCATTTCATGTAAAGCAAATGACTAACAGAAATAAAGTTGAGACTATTTCACATGAACTGTGGAAAGGTCATTTTATTTAGGAACTCTAAAAGAAAGTTTGATGAAGGCTATTTTGACAGGCATCCAAGTGATCAAACAAACTGAATAGAGTAGGTGGAAACATCTACTGCTATCAACTCATTTTTCTGATCTGTGTTATTGTTACCAATGGTATTTGTGCTTATCCATTCTGGATGAGGCATGAATGAAATGATGAGACTCACTTAGCTGCTGATCCTTTGGAATATACCACAAGACTTCATACTTCTGGGTTGAATTAAATCGTGAAGCCTCTAACTCCACAGCATATGCTATCACACACCAAAGACCACCTTCCAAGTATAAAAGAGGCAATTTGCTTGCACAGACATATTTACCTTGGCTTTACAAAATACACCTCTCAGTTTGTAATTACATGTTTCATAATAATTTGATTAATGAATTTTCATCTGGCAAAGTACTTACAACAAACTATTTAAATTAATGTATAAATTACCATTTTAAAAATGCTTGGATCAATACCAAAGTAATCTAAAAGTAAAAATAGGGAGAAGGCAAAATTTCAACCAATAAAATTTCAATTAACAAAGAAACAATTTTTGGAAAAAGAAGAGTCCTAGGAAAACAGCTTCACATTAGGGAGTTGGTAGGAAAGGCAAATTCCTGGATTATTAAAAGGTAACTTCTAAAAATTATGTGGAAATATTACAAGAAATAAAATGATGACTAATCATTCACACATAACAGCATTCTTTTAATGTAACAGAAATGAAAAATAATGTGCTTTAGGAAATTTTTCAGAAACATTTTTAATTAAGGGGAAAAAAAGCAATTATCCAGACAATCCCTAAGCAATGGCCAGCTAGTAAGCTTACATGCATTTTTAAGCAATAAACACACAAAGTAACATATATGACTCAAGGAAAAAATCTTTCTGAAGTGACCCAAAAATCAACATTAATACACATCTGCACATCCCTGTTTGGTGGTCATATCGATTAAGATTTTAAAATATTATTTATATTGACAAGTATAACAGAGTAAGATTTTTCTTTAATTTTAACTCAGTTGTATCAAAATGTAGTAATCATTATCCTGGACTGCTAACACTCATTTTCTTTAGTCTATGGGTGGTCTTTTCTTTAGTCGATTGCTGTTTTTAATAATATTCCAATAAGTAATACAAAAACCATCACCCAGACAGTATGGCAGGGCCTTGCCAATCCCTCCTATGTAACCACACAGAAAGCTGACCTCCCCCGCTGCCTCCCCTTGCCCTCCCCCAAGAAAGCCACTGAGCAGCCTTCTCTTGCTTTCTTTTTAGTTTTGATATGTCAAAATATAGACATACATGATTATATGCTCCTATCTAACAGTGATTCATATTCATCCATCTATCTTAATGGTTTAGATTTTAAATGGTATATATTATGTAATATTGGAGAACTTCTTTGAGAACCAGTCAATATTGCTGTGTGTTACAGCTATATGATTTGACTGCTATATAATAGTCCACTATATTTATTTATTTATCCTTCTCTTGTCAAAGCCTATTTATTCATTCTCTCTACCACAGAAAAGTACTGAGCTTATTTCTACAATTCTGCTACTATGTGCTACTTGAACATTTTTGTACTAAGATTTTTCTCTTGATAAATACTGATGAGTTGAATTGCCAAGTTACAGTACATGTGAATGCTCAATTTCAGGTGCCAATTGTTTTCTAAAGATAATTTATGATGCTAACACAACTAGAAAGCTTGTGAATTATACAATATCTAGTTCTTGCAAAATATATACATTTCTTCTCCAAGAAATGCTTACATCTTTTGGAAATTTTTATTGGGTTGGTAGTGGTGTTCTTATTTATGCATGGACATAAAAAAATCAATTATTTCCATAATAGTCTAGAAAATAGGACAAATGTCTTGATTACTAACTTTATAAAGCATATCTTTTTGACCACCAAATCACAATAAATTTGCTTTCATTTTTTCTATAAACACATTAATATTCTCTAATGGACTTTTTAATGTAATTATACATGTGTGTATGCATACATATGCACAAAATGCAAAATCACTATAAGACACATTTAGAAAACCAGGAGTACTATCAAATATCCAATCATAGGGCTTCCTAATTACAATCTTTCTTCTCCTTTTTTTAAGAATTAGATCCAAATACTATCCATACATTTCAATTGGTTGATCTGTTTTAATTTATAGATTGCTCATAGTTTGTGTGCTTTTTCCAAAGGAAATCAGTTGGTTTGCCCTCAAGAGGATACCTTTAATTTTGCCCACCCCTCCTGACTCTTAGGAGTTGGAGAACTAAGCCGGGCGGTGGTGGCACATGCCTTTAATTCCAGCACTCAGGAGGCAGAGCCAGGTGGATCTCTGTGAGTTCAAGGCCAGCCTGGTCTACAGAGTGAGATCCAGGATAGGCACCAAAACTACTCAGAAACTCTGTCTCCGAAAAAAAAGAAAAAGAAGAAAGAAAGAAAGAAAAAGATTTAACAACCAGTAACCTCCACTTTGCTAAATCTAATAAGTCAATTCTGTTTTTATCTTACCCAATATTAGCAGTAAGAACAGTTGATAATCTGTTGAGATCAAGCTATATCTATATCCTAAATTACTGCACATTGTATAAGAAAAGTGTTTTGGGAGCTGGAGAGATGGCTCAGAAGTTAAGGGCATATACTGCTCAGTGGCCCTGAGCTCAGTTCCCAGCACCATATATGGTAGCTCATAATTGCTTGTACCTCCAGCTGCAGGAAATCCAACTAACCCTCTTCTGTACTTCAAGAGCACCTACAATCACACACACACACACACACACACACACACACAAAGTTAAAAATAAAACTCCTAAAAGAAAAAGGAGAAAGAAGAGGAAGAACTTCGGTGACACACCAGATCCAAGTGTATGACTCCCTCACCTGGACTCCATAAAGTGGGAGGTGCCTCGCTAGCACTGCTATGCCTTAAGTCCAAAAGCACGTCATCTGACACCCAACATGCACATCAAGGATGAATGTCCCTGGCACTTCAGCTCAGCCTGGCCTCCTGCTGTGGATGAGGCATACTCAATTGCTCTTAGTCACTGATCTAACTGGTAGCCATTTGGACCTGGATTTGCTCTTCTTGTCTCAGTCTAGGTATAGCTGAAGAAATCTTAGATTTCAACTCTGACTCTCCTATGGCCTTAGCAACAGCTCCATCTGGGCAGTTGGTTTGGGTTCCTTTGTCTTATTAATACAGACTCAATTTACATTTCTATTAGTACAATTTTGAAACTTCAGAACTCTATAGTAGCCTCCTTAACTTGTTCATTCTGTAAATAAATACGTGTGTGTGTGTGTGTGTGTGTGTGTGTGTGTGTGTGTATGAAAGAGAGAGAGGCTTAAGATTTACTGTGTACTAATATGATGTGAGAGTAAATATGGATGATTAAGATTAGAATAAAAGAACAGCCAGAGGTGGTGGCCCACACTTTTAATCCCAGCACTTGGAAAGCAGAGGCAGGAGAATCTCTGTGGGTTCTAGACAAGCCTGGTCTAAAGAGCAAGTTCCAAGACAGCCAGGGATAAACAGAGAAACCTTGTCTAGAAAAAAACAAACAAGGAACAAACTTACTAGCTTCAGCCAGATTACCAGAACAGATAGGGCTATCTGGCAAACTGCTATCACTGAAAGGGCTATATCTTGTGAATTTATTGCTATTCAATCATTTTGACAACTGAAAAGACACAAAAATGTTGACATCTAGGCTCCTGGCATAGCAAGGTAAGGACATAGTTCTGCTTGTGGATATTTCACTTGTTTTGTTTTGTTTTGTTTCAGGATACTAGATCTTCTGTCCTCGACCTCCACTGACTATTCATTTCATTCCCCTTTTCTGGTTCCTGCTTATGTCCAGACAGAGTCAGTGTCCTGGAGCTCAGTTCTTGGACTAGTTCATCTATCTGCAGGTTCTTGATATTCTTATCCAGTCTTAGGGTATGCTATCTGTGGTGGTTAGAATAAAAATGCCCCACATAGGCTCATAGGGGTGGCAGTATTAGGAAGTGTGGCCTTGTTGGAGTAGGTATGGCCTTGTCAGGAGAAGTGTGTCACTGGGGGCAGGCTTTGAGTTCTCAGATGCTCAAGCCAGGGAGTGTCTCATTTTTCCTCCTGCTGCCTGTGGATCCAGATATAGAACTCTCAGCTACCTCTCCAGCACCACCTCTGCCTGCCTGCCACCATGTTTCCTGCCATGACAATAATGGACTAAACCTCTGAACTGTAAGCCAGCCCCAGTTAAATGTTTTCTTCACAAGAGTTGTCGTGGTCATGGTTTCTCTTCACAGTAACAGAAATCCTAACTATCTATCTATATAACACTATCTATCCATAACTTTCCCCTGAATTCCAGACTCAGCTATTCAAGAACATCTTTACTAGGATGCTTCCTTTCAGCTTCATAAAACCAAAGTCAAACGTT